CTCTCCCTTCCTCTCTGTACGAAATCAATAAAATATATATTTAAAAAAAAAACTGTAGGCTTTGTATTGTTCTTTTGTCATTTCATAGCAATTATTGTTTACCAAGAAATTGTTATCTTGGAATGTTAAATATTACAGAAAGGCAAAGTTCTTTATCAAATGCATTATAATAAAATCTATGTCTTTTTAAATTTTAAGTATTTTTAAATTTATTTAATTTATATTTTTGTTTTTGTTAATCCTCACCAGTGGATATTTTCCATTGATTTTTAGGGAGAATGAAAAAGAGAGGGAAAGACAGAGAGAAACATCGATGTGAGAGAACACATCGAAAAACATTTTTTAAAAGAACATCAACTGGCTGCCTCTTGCACAAGCCCAACCAGGGCCCAGGCTAGGAAGAAGCCTGCAACCAAGGTATGTGCCTTTGGCCAGAACCGAACCCAGGACACTTTGGTCTGCAGGCTGACGCTCTATCCACTGAGCCAAACCAGATAAGGTTCTTTTAAAAAATATATATTTTTAAATTGATTTCAGAGAGGAAGGGAGAGGGAGAGAGAGATAGAAACATCAATGATGAGAGAGAATCATTGATCAGCTGCCTCCTACATGCCCCATACTGGGGATCGAGCCTGCAACCTGGGTATATGCCCCAACCAGGAAGTGAACCGTGACTTCCCAGTTCTTAGGTCAATGCTCAACCACTGAGCCATACCAGCTAGGCTTTTTCTTTTTTTCTTATTTTTTTGTTTCTTCATTGTAAGTTTGTCATTTATAGACATTGTTTTACTCTGAGGCATTTACAAATACGTTACATCTTATAGAAGATCCATGAAAGGGACTCTGACTTACTCTAAAGTACAGGTTTCTAGGCAGGTTGTATCTTTGAAGTAGATGAAAATTTATAGAATTCTAAGGAATAACTGTATTCATGGAAATACTGGCAAATGATCAGGATAAACAAAGTTGATTATATGGGACTGAATGAACTGAGGGTAATTATTATTCTTATGATTGTGTTTAAAATATTGTTGATTTTACAAAACTTTTTGCTTTCCAGATATAAGAAAATTTGTTTTTTCCCGCTAAAGCAATTTAGTAAATTATACCCTCATCTATAAAAATAAAAGCTTAATATGCTAATTAGACTGGATGTCTTTCTGGATGACCTTTCGGACAAAGCCAGGGCTGTGAGGGAAGCCAGTGCTGGCGCCAGGGGAAGGAAGGCCTACTCTTGCACAAATTTCCTGCATCCGGCCTCTAGTAAACAATATCGAAACATTTATATTTTTCTCCCTACCCAATCCCTCCAGAATTTGACAATTCTTTTTGTGTGTGTCATTAATCACATTTTTTCCATTGATTTTTAGAGAAAGTAGAAGAGAGGGATGAGGGAGAGAGAGAGAGAGAGAAAGAGAGAGAGAGAGAGAGAGAGCGCCCACACACCACATGCAGGGCCCATGATCAAACCTGCTACCCTTTGGTGCATGGGCCAACACTCTAACCACTTAGCAACACCAATCAGGGCCAGAATTTGACAACTCTAAATGGGTGAGAATTACTTTCAGGTTGATATGTTTATTTTCATAAATCCAATAAGATTCTCTTTACAAAGAAGACATACAGAACCAGTTTCCAGTTGTAGTTTTCTTAATCAAAACTTTGAAATGTCATGATCAAAAAAGACATGCCCAGGCTCCAGATGTCACCAGAAAGCTTTAAGGAATGAATATTGTCTTTGAAGTAAATAAAAGCCCCTTGGGAAAATGGTCTGGTACCTTGCTTAGTCACATGGTTCATGGCAATTTTTCTAGTAAGCAATGGAGGTTGCTTCCCTAGGAGGTTGGCAAAGAAAGAATCTCAACATTTTGGGGACTTCGGGAACTTGAGAAACTCACCCAAATCTATAGGAATTGCAAGCAAAGCCTGTTGGCAATTACATGGTGTAGCTTCTTCACCTAATTAAGCTCAATCTGGGTATTCATTATCAGATTCCAGCAAAGCAGATTTAAGAAAGCCTATATAATCAATTATTATTTTTGTTGTGTTCATGCAAATAATCAGGCCAAATTATATCTGGACTTAATGCAGTAAATAATCTTGAGTCATCGTTAATAAAATGAGTGTGATTTTAGGAAGAAAAATGGTGTTCCAATAGAATCTATAATACATAATTGTGGATATTAGACTCCAGTTGGTTTTATTTTTCACCTACAATCTGGATTGAATCCTGAATTTTTTCTAGTTTTCTTCCTAACTAATGTTTCATTTCTTCTCCTATCCCTTGACTTGGAATTATTGAAAACTACTGATACAGAAAAGAAAAGAAAACTACTGATACAAAATGTATGCCATATAGTATTTACCTAAGCATCTGATAACACCACCAGAGTAGTTAAACTGCAGATAAGGAGGACCTATCATATTGTCACTGGTTGCTTTCATTCCAGCAAAAGCCTTACATCTAAAATCCCCTCCTCCGCTGAAACCGGTTTTGCTCAATGGATAGAGCGTCAGCTTGGGGACTGAAGGGACCCGGGTTCGATTCCAGTCAGGGGCATGTACCTTGGTTGCGGGCATATCCCCAGTAGGGGGTGTGTAAGAGGCAGCTGATGGATGACTCTCTCTCATCGATGTTTCTAGCTCTATATCTCTCTCCCTTCCTCTCTGTACAAAATCAATAAAATATATTTTTAAAAAAATAAAAATAAAAATAAAATCCCCTCCTCCGACAGTCTTAAAGACTCAGAAACTGGTTTATGATTTGCTATGCTCATTAACCTTTGCGTTCTTTTCTTCTGTTTTCACAGGCACACTCCTTATTAAATACCTGATTGCTTGTGTATGCCACACAGATATGGAAGTCCCTCTGCAACATTGCCTCCTGAAGTGAGACTCAACAGTTTAATGGAATTGACTTATTTTCAAGACTACATAATCGAGTCAATGAACTAAGCAGCCCTCTACCAACTTGGCTTCTGGAATGTAAACCTTTATTATTTAAAAGGTAGGACTGAAGGGACCAAAGTTATGCCACCTTGAAACAGCTTTTCCTTTCCAGCCCAGAAATTTAGGCAGAAAAAAAAGCTGTTTCCGAAGTGAGAGCTTGCTGAAACCGGTTTGGCTCAATGGATAGAGCGTCGGTCTGCGGACTGAAGGGTCCCAGCTTCAATTCCAGTCAAGTGCATCTACGTTGGCAGCTGGTCGATGTCTCTCTCTCATCGATGTTTCTAGCTCTCTATTCTTCTGTTAAAAAATCAATAAAATATATATATATATATTTTAAAAAGAAGTGAGATCTTATACCCCCTTCATCTAACTTGAATTAAATATAATAAACAAAGGGGCTTCAGACACCTTCGTCCGCGAAGGCCCCTCCACCAGTGTAACCTGGGACTCTCTAACGTCAGTCCCTCCTTCTCTCACCTGGCTCGTACCTGTCCTCAGACCTGGAATTACTGTAATTTTCCTTCTCATGTGTAGGCCATGCCTTTTTAACCTTCTTGTCAAAACCGTCTATTCGAATTTGTCACCTCTACGTTACAACAATCCCATATCGAGACGATGCTGCTTCCGGGACTCTGGCCCATCCCTGCTTTGGAAGAATCAGCTCACAGCCTCTCAGTTCCAGTCTCAGCTCCCATTCCCTCATCTCCCTGATACCAGGCAAGGAGAGACACCCGAGCCTACACAGGCAGTGACCTCGGCCCTTGTCAGCAGGAAGCAGTTACTAAAGACAAAACCTCCTTTCCCATCACCCCTAAAGGATGTCAGGGATGGATGTCTCTGAGGGTGGAGTGAGACAGGATAGTAAGAAGATAGGAGAATTCTTTGTCAAGTTGAATGGGGAAACTGAGACAGATCGCTGAACAAACAGGCTGAGCAGTTTGCGGGTGCAGCCAGATACAGAAAGTCCCCGCCCTAGAAAGAACATCTCGGCCTCCGTTGTATTTTAGCTCCAGACCCAGAAAAGCAGCAAAACCAGGTGTGAGCAATGCCAGTCTCTGCCCAGCTGCTGATTGATGAGTAGAGACTATGACCTTGAAAGGGCACAGATGAATAATCTGCTGAAACCCTCTCCCCGGACCTCCCCTAAGATTCAGACCTGCGAGAGACAAAACAAACAAACAAACAAATAAATAAACAAACTCCTCAAGACAAAAGATCCAACCCGTGCCTTTCCCTCCTCCCTCTTTCCCCCTCCGGCCTGCTTGTCCTAAACGCTAACGGTCGCGGAGACTTGCCAGCAGGGAAGCAACGGGGCGGCGGCAGCAACAACCCCCTGACCCTGGCTCCAGGCCCCCCTTCTCTCTGACTTCCCAGGGAGCCACAGCAGCCCCGCCTCCGCCCATATAATATTTTCAGAGCCGCAGCAGCTCAGCCTAAGGCTCTCCTGTGGCTTCTCCTGTGCCAAGGCCTTCCTTGCTACCCTCACAGTCACCTGGACTTGCATTGTTAAAGCTTTTCCTGCAGGAAGTCAGGAACCCACACGGGGGCAGATGGGGAGCAGAACCCACACTGCCCTCGGCAGCCCCGCGCAGGCCAGGCCGGGGTCCGGGAGCAGGCGGGACTGGATGGCAGGGCTGGATGGCAGGTGCCTGGTAGCATGACCAGCCTCGCACGGACCTGGGTGCAGTTCCTGCTCGTGCCCTCCTTCATTCCCTCTCTCGGCCCTCTGCCCGGAGAGCCTGGGCTGCACACCCCGGCTCGGACGGCTGCGCCCGCGCACAGACACCGCCCTGCCTTCCGCCTTCGCGGGGAGCCGCTCTGCACGGAGCAGCGCGCACTGCGCCCCGCGCTCTGCACTCCGCGAACAGCGCTCGGCGGGTCGAGCCTCCCCACACAAACAGTGTCCGGCTTCCTGTCCTCATCCCCGCCCTCCCGCCTGGTTTCCCTGGCCCCTCCCTCTCCCCGGCCCGATCCTCCCGCCGGCTCCCCCTCCCCCGATCCCTCGGGTCCCGGGATGGGGGGGCGGTGAGGCAGGCACAGCCCCCGCCCCCATGGCTGCCCGTCGGAGCCCGAGGCAGAGGGGGCGCACGGGGGAGCCGGGCACCGCCCTGCTGGCCCCGCTCATGCTGGGCCTGGGCCTGGCGCTGGCCTGCCTCGGCCTCCTGCTGGCCGTGGTCAGCCTGGGGAGCCGGGCATCGTCCTCTGCCCAGGTGAGGCCCTGGCGCACACCCTCCCCGGGCAGATGGGGAGCAGAACCCACGGGGCGGCGTGTGGGGCTGGTGGGCGGAGGACCAGGGCCCGGGAGGTGGGCGGAGGGTGGGATGTCAGGTGGAGGAGGACAGGGTGACCCTCCCTCCTTCCCAGCAGGAGTCTTCCCAGGGGGAGCTGGTGGCAGACGAGGACCAGGACCCTCTGGTGAGTGGCGGCGGTGCTGACTGCAGGCTGCTGGGCACGGGCAGTGTGTGCGAGTGAGGGGCAGGGAGTGCCCTGGCCGTGCGGCCAGGCCGTCTGCGTGTTGGTAGGTGTGTGGGAGAGAGAGGGTGACAGCTGTGTGAGGGGCTTGTGCTGGGTTTGTGTCCGCTGAGGAAACGTGCTGTTGGCTGAGGGAGACGGGGGAGAGAGGGGGAAGGTGGAGGAGGGATGTGGGCTGTGAGTGCAGCCTGCCTGCCCACCGTGCACTCTGAGGAGTGTGGGCGCGTGTGCAAGGTGCCCATGGCTGGCAGGGTCCGCACTGGGTTGTGGGGTGGGGAAGTGTGGCTGCTCTGGGAGAGGCGTGAGGGCGGAGACCTGACCCCAGAAACCTGCCTCCTCCCCTGGGCCTCAGCCACCGCTGGCTGAGAGCTCTGCCATCTGTGCCGTCTGTGCCTCTCCTGATGGCCTCTGGCCGCCTCCGTGTTTGGGTCTGGGTGCCCCTGGCAACACTCTGAGGGAGCCCTGCCCTCACTCCCCCCAGGAACTGAGTCCCCAGTCCGAGGAGAGCCCGGACCCTGTGCCTTTCCTGAAACGGCTGGTGCGGCCTCGCCGGAATGGTGAGCACCTCTTTGTCCCAACCTCAGTGGCTTCTGAGTTCATTGCTGCTTTTGCTCATCCTGACAGCCCTGGGAGTGGGCAGAGCAAAAACCGTTATCCTCACTTATGAATGGAGAACCTGAAACACAGAGAATAAAGGGGGAGGGTCGGAGTCACGATGTAGACAGAATGGGGAAGTCGGAAGGCGAGGCCCCAAGAACCAAAAATGTATGAACGGGCTAACCATGTGACCAGGTGTGTGGGGGCTGTCCTGGCGTACACCTGTTACCTCGGTGTGATCGTTAATGGCACCCTTTTTGAGCTCGGAAGCATCTGATTTGCATGATAAGTCCTATAGTCATTCTATTTATGTATAAAGATAAGGCGTGAGGTTCTGAGGCCAGAAATCTGGACAAAAGTGAGGATGCCAGGGCTGCTCGAGGGGCTGGGGGGGTGGGGAGCTCCTGGACCCAGATATGTGGGGGCTGTTCTGCCCATCTGCCTCTTCTTGATTCTCAGCTCCTAAAGGCCGGAAAACGCGGGCTCGCAGAGTGATTGCTGCCCACTATGAAGGTGGGTGACGGTGAGCCATGCCCGGGGGTGGGGGGTGGCAGAGGGGCAGGCAGGTCTCACCAACCCTCCCTGTGTTTACAGTTCATCCACAGCCTGGACAGGACAAAGCACAAGCAGGTAAGACCCTCTCTGCGCCTCCGTGCTTTTCCCTGACCCCCACAGCACCGGCCTCCTGGAAAAGGACCCCTCTGAACCACCCCTGTCCTGCCTTCAGCTCAGAACCCCAGAAGCCAGTTGGGAAGGTCCTCAGGGTTCGGTTCTCTCAGCCCCAGAGTCAGACTTTCTCTGTGATCCAGGAGGACTTCTTCCCCTTCCCGAACCCGGGCATATCCTCCCACCAAACCACCAGCCCAGCTTCTCCTTCAGACCTCACTCCTCTTCACCTTCGATTTTTTCCCTCTCCTTTCCCCTCCCTCTCTTCATGCTCTGATCGTTTTTTCTCAAAACGCTTCTAGTTTCTGTTCTTCTTTTCTCTTTTGGTTGGTTTCAGAGAGGAAGAGAGAGGAAGAGAGAGAGAGAGAGAAACATCAACGATGAGAGAGAATCATTGATTGGCTACCTCCTGCACGCTCCCCATTGGGGTTCGAGCCTGCAACCCAGGCATGTGCCCTGATCAGAAATCAAACTGTGACTTCCCGGATCATAGGTCAACACTCAACCACTGAGCCCTGCTGGCCGGACATGGTTCTTTTTTCCATCCCTACCATACCCCCTGTCTAAACCTTTCCCCATTCCGAACTCTCCCACCACCTGTGTTGCCAAGCTAAGCCCCCAAACATCATCCTCAATATCCCATTGCTTCTCTGCCTGGCTTCCAGGCTGTCATGGTCTCAACCCCTTTTCCCTGCACATCCTTATGGATTCTCCACTCTCGTTGGGCTGACTCCCCTTCCCCACTAACGTTCCTCTTCTGGACGTTGCCCATACTGTTCCCTGACCTGGAATGCCCTTCCCCGGGACAGGCCAGGAGGCAAGGCATCAGGCTGAGTTGGCCTAGGAGGCTGGCAGCTGAGGTGGAGAGAAGCAAGCATGTGGCTTGAAGCTATGGCTCGCTTGTTGGTTGGATGTGTAGGGTGAGGGAAAGGGAGAAATTGGAAATGATTTCTATATTTTTAAGTTGGGTGTCTTTGGGAATAATGATGCCATTTGCTGAAATGGGGTTAATGGGGGGAAGAACTAGGTTGGGAGGTCTGTATAGTAATAATTACATTTGAGATCTAATAATAAACAAGTGGATAGATAAGAATAGAAAGTGAGTTCCACAAATAGATGGCTGGGCATGGAAGACTAACTCGGTCTAGGCCAGGACTCAAAAAGTCAGGGGTCACTGCCTTGTGGGTGGTATTTAAAGCTACAGGCCTGGATGAGACACCAGTGTGAAAAAGAGCCCCATAAGTGAAGCCCGGAGTCTCTGGGACCCTGGGAGTGGAGCGGAGGAGGAGATCCCAGCCGAGTCTGAGAAGCGGCCAGAGAGAGAGGAGGAAACCCAGGGAGGGTAGAGTTATGGAACCTAAGATAAGACATAGTTTCGCTCTCCCCAGTTTGGCTCAGTGGATAGAGTGCTGTCCTGTGGACCAAAGAGTTCTGGGTTCAATTCTGGTCAAGGGTATGTATCTCAGATGCAGGCTCTTCTCTGGCCCAGGCCCTGGTCGAGAGAACCAGGAGGCAACCAGTTGTGTGTTTATCTCACATGAATGTTCCTCTCTGTCTTTCCCACTCTCTAAAAATCAACAGAAAAAATATCCTCAGGTGAGGATTTAAAAAATAATAATAATGAAAAAAATGCTCTTCAAATTAAAAAAAAAAAAAAAAGACAGTTTCAAGAATGATGTGGCTGTTTGTGTTGAAAGCAGCTGAGAAGTCACATGAGATGATAACAGAGAAATGACTGCGGGTTTGCTAATATAAAAAGTCAACTTGGCCAGGGCAGTTCTGTGGCATAGTTAGGATGGAAGCCAGCCTGTATTGGGTTACGAAAAAAAATCTGAAGTAGGAACTGGAGACAGTGACAACCCTTTCCAGAAGTTTCTCTGTAACAGGAGCAGAGAAATGGGCCAGTTGGTGGAGGAGGATGTGGATCAAGGAAAAGTTCAGTCCTTTCAGGGGTAAGGAATACTACGTGGATCTCAGTTAAAGACATTCTGATCATTTTATAGATGGAGGTCACTTAACTTGGCTGAGGCCATGGCGATACTAAGTGGTGGAGCTGGGATTTGGACCCACGTAGAGTGTGCTTGTGGACTGGACGTGGTCCATGTGAGCGCGCCAGGCTGGAAACGGGGAGCCCTCAGAAATAAGAGGCTGGGAAGACACACAGTGAGATGTGGCAGGGCAGGCTGGAAGGGATATGGGACAGAGCTATTTAAGTGGCAGAGTTGCTAGTAAGTGGTGATGATGGGGGAGTAAAGTTGGTGAAGGAGAGAGAGACATATACCTGGTGGGAGGTGGAACCATGAGCCAAACTTGAAATAGAGACAGCAAAGCAAATTTGGAGTTTGCTTTTCAGAGAGAGAAGGGAGGATGAGAGGGGAAGAAGCAGGGAGAGAGAGAAAGAGAGAGAGAGAGAGAGAGAGAGAGAGAGAGAGAGAGAGAGAGAGAGAGAGAGAGAGAGCGAGCGCCATGTGAGAGCGACATATCGACTGGTTGCTTCCTGCACCTGCCCGACTCGGGCAGGGAGTAAACCTGCAACCCAGGTATGTGCCCTTGATTGGGAATCGAACTCTGGGCCCTTTGGTGCACCAATTGATGCTCTAACCACTGATCCACACCAGTCAGGGTAGATTTTTTTTTTTTTTGTAATGGCTTTATTGAGATAAAGGTGATCTCACATACCATACAATCCACCCACTTAAAGTGTACAATTAAATGGTTTTGAGTATATTGACACAGTTGTGCAATCATCACTAAAGTAATTTTGGAACATTTTCATTTCCTCAAAAAGAAAAACCTGTCCCTTTTAGCCATGACCCCTATTTCTCCAATCCCACAGGCCGCCAGTGCTAAGCAAACACTAATCTACTTTCTGTCTCTATGTATTTGTAAATTTGTATAAATGCATTCAGTCATAAAGGACAACATCTACTGTGTTGTCCTTTATGACTGAATACATTTAGCATAATGCTTTCATAGTTCGTAGCATTTCTTTTTAAGGCTGAACAATATCCCATTGTGTGGATATATACAATCTTCCCCATCCATGCATCAGCTGATGAATATTTGGGTACCATTTAAAAATTTTTAAAAATCCAAATAATGTGATTTAAGTAACCTATGTATACACCCACAGAGGAAAAGAGGTAAACACCGTAGGCTCAAAATAGGAAAGCCCCCCAGGCTTCTCCTCCGGTCCTGCTCTTCTCCCAGGAAGTGGCTGGTGACAGCTTGCCGTGTGTGGTTCTGGTTACTGAGGTCCGATGTTTTCACGTAACTTCCCATCACCCCGTGGGCTCCGGAGGCCGTGGGTCAGGCGGGCTCCGAAGAGTCATAAAGCCCAGGGGTGCCCGGGGAACGTGGAAGTCCTGGGAAGGGACTTTCCCCCTCTCTTTGAACTTCCACATTCAGGTGTGGACGGGACGGTGAGTGGCTGGGAGGAGGCCAAAATCAACAGCTCCAACCCACTGCGCTACGACCGGCAGAGCGGGGGCTTTGTAGTCACCCGGGCTGGGCTCTACTACCTGTACTGCCAGGTAAGCCCCGCCCGCCCGCCCCGGGCACAGCGGGCAGGCACGGAGGAGGAGGGCGTGGTTGGGGGGGGAGCTGAAGGGGGTGGGCAGCTGGGGCTTGGGCTGGAGCGGACACGGGGTCTCAGAGGAAATGTGAAGCTGAGGCCCGGCCGGCGAGGCCCCCACTCGGCCACCCGCTCCCCCACAGGTGCACTTTGACGATGGGAAGGCCGTCTACCTGAAGCTGGACCTGCTGGTGGACGACACGCTGGCCCTGCGGTGCCTGGAGGAGTTCTCGGCCACGGCGAGTTCCCACGGCTCGCAGCTCCGCCTCTGCCAGGTGTCAGGGCTGCTGCCCCTGCGGCCAGGGTCCTCCCTGCGGATCCGAACCCTCCCCTGGGCCCACCTCAAGGCCGCCCCTTTCCTCACCTACTTTGGACTCTTCCAAGTTCACTGAGGGGCCCCGGCATCCCAGTGGTTTTCCCAGGCTGCTGGCTCCCCACGACGGCTCTCGGAGCACCCCGTCCCCACCCTGAGCTGCTCCTCCCTCAGACTTGCCTCTCGCCGGGTAAGCTGCCAGGGCTTGTTCACGTGTTTTCCCGGCAACATCAATATCCCCACTCGTCTCTGAAAAGCCCCTCTCCCCACCTCGGGTCCCCCACCTTGCTAGCTCCCAAACCTCTGATCTTGGACACCCCCACTTGTCTCCCGGTGCCCCACCCTGGCTGCGGCCCCTGGTACACTGTTTACTCTGGGTGAGGATGGGCCCCCGTTACCCCTCTCAGGCACGAAGAGAAGCTGGATACCATGAGCTGGGACTGGGCCAAGAGTTCCCAAATGTGAGGGTGAAGAGACCAAGCAAGTTCCTCCCCCCGATGGTTTCCTGTGGATTTTTAAAACAGATATTATTTTTATTATTATTGTGACAAGATGTTGATAAGTAAAAACTAAAGAGAATAAGTCGTGGTTGCTCTCTTTATTGGGGTTCAGGGGACCTCCTCGGGGTAACCGAAAGCCCTGAGAAGGGGGTCTGGGCATGGGGGAGTGGGGGGTGCAGGACACCCGGAGTTCCAGGTCCGCATGCCGACTAGCGAATGGGGACCCACATGCCTCTGGCCCCCGGGGTGCGAGCAGAGAGTGGGAAGGCAAACTGCCAGGAAACAAAATCGATCCCCTGCCCAAGGTCCAGCTGCAGCGGCCTCATTTACCTAGGAGGCGGGCCTCCCCTGGGGGGAATCCCTGGCGGGCGGAACAGGGCCCTTCCTGTTGGCAGCCTCGGGACATGGGCAGGTGCTGGCACCAAGCCCTGGCTGGGATGGGGAGGGAGAGGGGGGAGAGCGGGCCTCAAGGAGGTTTCAGGGTCAGTAAGCAGCACATTGGGGTCCAGGAACATGGGAACCTGGACCCTAGGATCCAGGGGAGGAATCCTACAATGGTAGGGTGCTTGGGGCTGTCTCTTTCTCGCTTCACCCAGAACCTTATGTAAGAGCTCTTCTCGGGAAACAGGAAGTCGAGTTTGCCAAGTTCAGCACAGAGAGTAGTGCAGGCCTTCTTCCAGCACGCCCGGCCTGGCCTTAACCCCAGTGCTCCGCCGGTTTCTCGCTTCAGAGACCCCGGATCTCCACGCTGGCCCTCTCCCCTCCCTTCCTACCTTCCGTCGGTCCTAGCGAACTTCCCCGGAGATCTCTCCTAGGCCTGAGCCAGAGGGTCTCACACCCTCATCCCTTGACCCTGCACACTGCCCAGTGTGTCCCTTCATCCCTGCTCCTGGCACCATGCCCCATCGCCAGCCAGCCTTCCCTCCCCCCCCTTCTAGGGCCGTCCCCAGGGAGCCTGTGCTTTGGCCGCTCCTCCTGGGTGCCACTGCAGCCCCGTGCTTGCTAGAGAGACTGCACCACATGCGCCTGAGGCTGGAGGGCGGGGGTCCCGGGCCACACTGGCCCCTCAGCAGAGTGCCAGGAGCACCGGCAGTGTCCTAGCTTGCTTTCCTCCTCCCTCCTTTTTATTCTCAAGTTCCTTTTTACTTCTCCCTTGCGTAACGCCCTTCTCCCTTCTGCACCACTGTCTGCACCTCCTGTCACCCACTCCTGAAGCCACAGCTGTTGGCAGGGTCCCCAGCTCATGCCAGCCTCATCTCCTTCCTTTCCGGTCCCCAGAGGGCCCCCGGGAGACATGGGGGGCCGGGGCCGAGAGCCGGCACTCTCGGTTGCCCTCTGGTTGAGTTGGGGGGCGGCCCTGGGGGCTGTGGCTTGTGCCACGGCTCTGCTGATCCAGCAAACAGAGCTGCAAATCCTGAGAAGAGAGGTGGCCCAGCTGCGGAGGACCGGAGGGCCCTCTGGCAGGGGGGAAGGGCATCCGTGGCTGAGCCTCCAGGAGCAGGTGAGTGTGGGGAGGAGGGTGTCGGGAGGGAAGGGTCGGTGGCAGGTTGTCTCTGGCACTCTTGATCCCAGCCGCCTGGTCTGGTCGGCAATGTTCCCAGTGGGTACCAGAGAGGGTCTCGGTTTTGGAGGTCAAGAGAGCAGCCATTGCAGTAAAGGAAATTGTTAAAGATTAATGCTTCTTGTACCTACCAGATCCTGGAGGGCAGCCAGCACCAAGACTCAGGTTGCTGGGGAAAGGTGCAGAGGAGAGGCATTCTGGGCAGGGGAGGGCTGGGCGGAAAGGCTGTCTGGGACCCTTGCATCTCAGCCTAACCCTGACTCTCTTCCCGTGAGCAGGGCCCCAATAGCCCGGAAACCCCGGAGAACGGGGAGAGATCCCGGCGGAGGAGAGCAGTGCTCGCCCATAAACAGAAGAGTGAGGCCTTCGGGGTGTCGCGGGGTGGGAGGTGATGAAGCAGCATGAAGACTTGGAGATTGTCACCCCGAATTAGGGTGAGGGTGGAGGGCTGGCTACGGGGCACGTAGAGCAGGTGGGCATTGCTGAGATTTCCTCCTTCTCTCTGCAGAGAGGCACTCGGTGCTGCATCTTGTCCCTGTTAACATGACCTCCAAGGGTGAGCACTGTCCTCAATGGCTTTGGGGGAAGGGAAGGTCCGGGGGCTTTGGGGCTGGTACCCGGCCTGAGCGAATCTTCAAGGTGAAAAGTAAGGATGCCCAGGAATGCTGACTGCCACCCTCCTCACCTCCAGAGGACTCCGATGTGACAGAGCTGATGTGGCAGCCAGCTCTGAAGCGTGGGAGAGGTCTGGAGGCCCAAGGATACGTTGTTCGCGTCTGGGATGCTGGAGTGTATCTGCTCTATAGCCAGGTAACCCCAAACAAACGCTGAGCCCCACACGGGGACTGGAAGCCTGTTTTTCCAGAGCCTTAGGCTCCAATACTGAGGGTTCTCAACCCTCTCTTCATACCAAACTTAGAAGACCCTCCTTTGTTCCTTGGCAGGGCCCTGAGGCCTCTCAGAGCTGAGCCATACCATCCTGTCTTCAACATCTCTTCCCTCCCCTCCCAGGTCCTGTTTCACGATGTGACTTTCACCATGGGTCAAGTGGTGTCTCGGGAGGGCCAGGGAAAGCAAGAGACGCTATTCCGATGTATACGAAGTATGCCCTCCAACCCAGACTGGGCCTACAATAGCTGCTACAGTGCAGGTAACAGTTCTGTGGGCAGAGGGGAGACAGATATGAGAAGAGCAGGACCCTATCTGACCTGGGGGCAGTGGTGGGAGGGTTACGACAGGGTGTTGGAAGCCTGTATGTAGAGGCAGATCTAAGGAATGAAGGAGAGAAAGAGAGAGAATACCTACATCCTTACAGGAAGTAGAAAAAGGTTGAGTTGGGGGAGGGCAAATAGCTGTCCTTCACTGAGCATCTATTTCCTCTTGCTTCTCAGGTGTCTTCCATTTACACCAAGGGGATGTTCTGAGTGTCACAGTCCCCCGAGCAAGGGCAAAACTCAGCCTCTCTCCGCATGGAACCTTCCTGGGGTTTGTGAAACTGTGATGGTTATAAACGGTGGTCCTGGGCTTGGAAGGCCAGAGTGGTTTGGGCACATCTGGGAGTCAGCCAAAAGCTGACTAGACAAAGGACAGGGAATGGGAAGGAACAGAGGTTTCTTCTGGGTTTAACTGGAACCCTCACTCTGATAACTCATGACTCTCTGTTCCTCCCTTTTCCCTTCCCACCCAACGCCTAGACTTTGATTTCATGAATATAAAGCAGGTAGAATATCTTGCTTTTGTCTCTGATCTAGCCTCAAATTCTTGGGGCTGTGGAGGGTGAGGAGAGAATGCCAGGCATTGTCTAGACCGGCTTCGGGTCCCCCTGGAATGCTTCCAGAACAGCACCACCACCTAGCGGCAGCTTGAGAGAATCGCCCTATTGGCAGAAGTCCACAAAGCCTCCCCACACGCAGGAAAACTCCAGTTCCCTGTGCCACACCTTCCTCCAGGCATCCCGTCCCTTCTCTGCCATCCTCACTTCCCTGGATCTGCCGCGCCTTAGTTTCCATCCCTAGAGGACTATTTATTATGGGACTCTGCGGGGGATGCCCGACGACGACCGGTCCCCAGTTTTGCCCTTCATGCTCTGCATGCCCCGGCGTGGCAGGCCACTCCGAACCCCTCCGGGCTGAGACGGGTCGCCGGGGAGCCTTGGGGATGAGTCGTTACGTCTTGCTGCTGGTCTTGCCTCACTCCTGAGCTCTTTGTTCTACTCAAAGTTAATAAAGGAGAATAACTGATACCTCGGATCCACTTCCCCCACTGCCTTACCTCAGCCCCGTCCCTCTACTCGGGACCTCCTGCCCCGTGGCACCCCCTGGCGCACCCACTACACGAAGAGATCGGGCCCGTGAGCTCAAGACCGAAGGGACCGTGCCCCCGGGCGGCAGGGGCCGCGCAGGCGCAGAAGGCAGAGCGGCGGTCCCGCGCGCAGCCCAGGGCGGCGGTGGGCGGGGCGTGTGGCTGGGGGCGGGCCCGTCCCGTGGCGGCTACGTCCCCGGGTGGGCGGGCCTAGGCGCGTGGTGGCCGCGCCGGCGCCGTTCGCCGAGTGTGACGTAGTAATCGTGCGCCGCCACCGCCGGTGGGCCTGGGGCTCGCGGGAGGGGAAACAGGAGGAGGAGGGGGAGGCGGTGGAGGTGGAAGCTCAAGCCGAGCCAGCGGCAGCCGCGGCGGGGCGGCTCGGCGGCGCGGCGCGCGGCCCGGAGCCGTTGGAACTCCGAATTGCGACGGCTGCGCCTGAAGACAGCAGGAGTGGCGGGGCCGCCGCCGCCACCGGAGAGATGAGCCGGGAAGCCTGAGGCCGGAGACGCCCGCCCTCGGGCCCGTCAGTCCGGCTTCGCCGCTCCCGGTGAGGACGCCCCTTCCCTCCCCCTTAGCCCTGCCCCGGCCGTTCCCGGACCTCGTTCCCACCTAACCGGGACTCACGAGGCCCTTGAGGGGGTTTCTCCAGGCCCTCGCGCTCTGAGCGGTCCGCTTAGGACTGTGCTGCTGGGACCCATTCTGGTCCCCGGGGACCGCAGGAGAGGGGGCTGGGCCAGCCCGGCTCGCTGGCTCCGTTTTCCCCCAGCGCCGTGATTCGGGTGCTCAAGCAGCCGGCTGGTTCCCCTTCGGTTTCCTTTACATGCTTCCCTTGTCATTAGATCCTACTACCTGAACCACACGGCTCTGGCATCCCCAGTCCCTCCTGAGACGGTCTGAGCATGCTCCCTCTCCCCTACTTCATTCCAGGCTGTTAGAGAACTCTTCCCACTCTAGGCCACCGTTTCCTTTGGAGGTTGTGTTCTCCTCATGTACCATGTCAGTATTCCCCGGCTGAGCCATATCCTTTATTAGGCTCTCAATTAGGACACTCCCAGTGGCATTACAACAGCGAAGTAGAGCCTGAAAATTTTGGGTTTGACCAAGTAAGATTCCCTAAGGCCTGCTGCTTTAGCCATTCTCCTTTTCCTCTATCGGGGTAAGGGAGAGATGATGGCACAGTTGCTAAAGGGTTCCATGTAAACCAGGAAAGTCTGAAGTTTGTTTGGCTTTTATCTCCCTCTTTCTTTTTTGCATTTCTCTGAATCCTGGTTTATTCGCATCTGATTCCAGAGCAGGCATGCTGAGGAAGAAAGGCAGGGTCAGGGAAACAATGTTTAGATCCTGACACTCCTTTGTTTTACAGGCTACTGGAAGATGAAAGAGATCATACAAGGGACCGGGTCTTGGGGGCCTGAGCCTTCAGGACCTGGCGTAGCTCCAGCTTACTCAAGCCCTAGGCGGGAGCGTCTTCGTTGGCCCCCACCCCCAAAACCTCGACTCAAATCAGGTGGAGGGTTTGGGCCAGACCCTGGGTCAGGGACCACAGTGCCAGCCAGACGCCTCCCTGTCCCTCGGCCTTCTTTTGATGCCTCAGCTAGTGAAGAGGAAGAAGAGGAGGAGGAGGAGGAAGATGAGGAAGAGGAAGTGGCAGCTTGGAGGCTGCCCCCCAGATGGGGTCAGCTGGGAGCCATCCAGCGCCCTCGCCCTCCCCGCCCTACTCATCGAAAAACCTCACAGCGCCTCACACAGCGCCGTCGCAGAGCTATGAGAGCCTTCCAGATGCTGCTCTACTCAAAAAGCACCTCGCTGACATTCCACTGGAAGCTTTGGGGGCGCCACCGGGGCCGGCGGCGAAGCCTTGCACACCCCAAGAACCATCTTTCACCCCAGGAAGGGGGTGCGACACCACGGGTGCCATCCCCCTGCTGTCGTTTTGACTCGCCCAGGGGGCCACCTCCCCCTCGGCTGGGTCTGCTAGGTGCTCTCATGGCTGAGGATGGGGTGAGAGGGTCTCCACCAGTGCCCTCTGGGCCCCCCATGGAGGAAGATGGATTAAGGTGGACTCCAAAGTCTCCTCTGGACCCTAACTCTGGTAAGGTGGGAATAGGGTGGAGGAAGGGGGGGGGGAGCTGAGATTCTGAAGAACCAGGAGCCTAAGGAAAGTTAGATGGCAGAGTGAGGGCAAGGGTAGAGGTGGTGTCCAGAATAGCTGTGAAATTAAGCCCCACTTTCAGCAGGAACTAAAGGGAGGTAGTCAAGGCTGGGATACAGAATCCTTAAGTAAGTGTTCGTTCTGTGCATGGGTGAAAAAGGGAGACACGGTTTAGAAAAGTGCGTCTTTGTCTTCTTGAAATCCCTCTTCATTCAGTCTTTGAGGATAAAGGCCCTGCGGGTGCATCTCCAGAGGGTGCCATTCTCATAGCGGTGGGGTGAGATCTCTTAGTTATGGAGTGTAATCACCTATATGATTGTGGGTGAAATCCTCATTCAGAGTATTTCTCTTTTGGAGAATCACACTAAACAATTTAGGTGGTGTTTTTACTAATTATTTTTTGAGAGCCTTTGCTTATGTCAGGTACTGTGTTAGGTGCATCTCTCTGACTCCCTAGTCTTGCTTTTCTACCTGAGTACAGTTGACCCTTAATACAGATTTGAACAGTGTGAGTTCACTTATATTTGAAGTTGGCCCTCTGTGTCTGTAAGTTTCACATCTGGGAATTCAAACAATCATGAATCAAAGACTTTGTTTTGTTAATCCTTACCTAAGGAAATATATATATATATATATATATATATATATATATATATATATATATTATTGTTGAGAGAATAGAAGGGAGAGGGAGAGAGAGAAACATCGATGTGAGAGAGACATATTGATTGGTTGCCTCCCACACATGCCTCCTGACCGGGCCGGGGCCTGGGACTGAATCTGCATCTGCAGCCAAATTATGTCCCCTTGACCAGAATGGCACCGCAGCCCTTCAGTCCTCAAGCTGATGCTCTAACTACTAAGCAAACAGGCCTCAAAGACTATTTTCAGTATGCAGTTGGGAATCCACAGATGCAAAAGACTTGATTATATGCATTGTGCTCTACCATTTTACACAAGGGGTTTGAGCATATGTGAATTTCAGTATCCACAGGGATCCTGGAATCAATGCCCCACAGATACCATGGGACAGCTGAGTTTTGGGGGAGTTAAAATTATACCTGTGTGAGGAGGGAGTAGTGTCCTAACCCCCACATAGTTCAAAGGTAGACTGTAGTTAACTCTTCCTCTATGTCTCTATATAACCTCTTGGACATGCTTATCTCATGCTTTAGGGTCTCCTTTCCTTAAGAGTTTATATTGATCTTCCCATTGTCCTTTGATCTGAACCAATTTTTCATCCCCATCCTGTTCCCCTGCCCTACAGGCCTCCTCTCTTGTACTCTGCCCAACGGCTTTGGGGGACCATCTGGGCCAGAAGGGGAGCGAAGTCTGGCCCCCCCTGATGCCAGCATCCTCATCAGTAATGTGTGCAGCATCGGGGACCATATGGCCCAGGAGCTTTTTCAGGGCTCAGATTTGGACGCTGCAGAAGAGGCAGAGCGGCCCGGGGAGAAAACTGGCCAGCATAGCCCCTTGCGGGAGGAGCATGTGACCTGCGTGCAGAGTAAGGAACCCGAGAGGCCCCAGTCTCTTCCCCTCAACAGCCTCCTAGATGAGGGTCTGGAGGTCTTACCCTAGTACTCTTTCCCTCCCGTATTCAGGCATCTTAGATGAATTCCTTCAAACTTACGGCAGCCTCATCCCCCTTAGCACTGATGAGGTAGTAGAGAAATTGGAGGACATTTTCCAGCAGGAGTTTTCTACGCCTTCCAGGTGAGGCGAGGGCTGGGGTTAGCGGGTGGGTAGAGAATGCTGCTTTTTCTGTCAGGGATGTACTTGGGAAGGAGGAGGAAGCTAGAACTGAAGCAGGGTAATCTGCAAGCAAGGTGCCTGGGAGGGTCTTTACCCAGGACCCTGCAGTACTGTGTATACCGGAGTATTGGTGTGCTTCTTTCTGAGGAGTAGGCCTTCAGCAGGTCTCAAAAGAGACCCATGACTTAGAAAAGGGGGGAAGATTAGACTCTTATCCTGGACAACAGAAGGGACTTCTGTGCGCCCTAGCCCCCTTGTCTCTTGAGTGACCCCATCCTTGGCTACTCAGGAAGGGCCTGGTGCTACAGCTGATCCAGTCATACCAGCGGATGCCAGGCAATGCCATGGTGAGGGGCTTCCGAGTGGCTTATAAGCGGCATGTGCTGACCATGGATGACTTGGGGACCTTGTATGGACAGAACTGGCTCAATGACCAGGTGAGGAGGAGAGAAACAGGCCCAAGAGGGAGCAGGGTGTCTGGGGCCCTCTTTGTGGGAAGACCCCTGTACCCATATCACACCCTCATGGCAAGTTGCCTCCCATCTTCTCCCCAGGTGATGAACATGTACGGAGACCTGGTCATGGACACAGTCCCTGAAAAGGTAGGCCACGCAGGTACCCAGGAGAATTTCCACAGTTCTGAGTAGCTTTTCAGTCCCTTTCATCTTCCGTTTTACATCAAGAGGGTCCTAGTTTCTGGGGAGAGGTGGTAGAAGGCAACCTGTTAAATTCAAATCTATAATGTTGGTCCTGAATTTAACAAATCTGTTTCTTTCCCCCAGTCTTTAGTGCTTTTCCCCTATGGCTAAACCACAAGTTGGGATAGGAAGCTCTAAGATAAAGTTACAAACATGATTGGGATTTTTTCTCTCAGTGAATTGGAGTGCAGGTTGTTGAAAGCAGTCTTTAGAGCCATAGAAAGGAGAGGACACGAAGCCTGAGGTTTTTAATTCCATCCAGCTCTTTTCTATCATTGGCACAGGTGCATTTCTTCAACAGCTTCTTTTACGATAAGCTCCGCACCAAGGGTTATGATGGGGTGAAAAGGTGGACCAAAAACGTGAGTTATGAATTCACATCTACTTATGTTAACATCTTGTCTTTAAAGAATTAGAGTTCTATTTTTATGAACTCTTTTCTCAACCTGTTCATTCATTTCTTCAGTATTTATCAAATGTCTTCTGTGTGCTAGGTACCATTCTAGGCACTAAGGATGCAGTGTTAAGTAAAGAAAACTTCATTGCCTTTACTGGGTGAGAATAAATAAGCAAGTTAAGTTTCAGCTAGTGCTAATTGCTAAAAATAAGTTAAAACAGAGTAATGTAGTAGCACGGGAAGTGGTAACTTTATAGGGTGATCTGAGAAGGCCTCTGTTAGCTGGATTTGAATGGTGAGCCGGCCATGTCCAGATTTGGGGAAAGAGTGTTCTAGACAAAGGGAACAGCAAGTACATGGGACACAAAGTGAGAGAGAACATTTGAGGACCAGGGGCCTATGTTGTTGAAACAGTGAGCAAAGGGAAAATGATACAAAATGTGGCCAGAGAATAGATCATGTAAGGCTTGGAGGGGAGAGTAGATTTTATTCCATGTGTACTGAGAAGCTGTTGAGTTTTGAGCAGGCTGTGAAGTGCCTCATGTTTTGAACTCATCTAAGATAAGATGAAAGGGAGCAAGAGAGGAAGCAGGCAGATTAACTTAGGAGAGCAGCACAGAGTCCACATGAGAAACTTGCAGCAGTGTGGTAATGGTAGAAATAGACGTAGTTTTATCTAGGATAAGTTTTGTTCGTAGAACCAATAGGACTTTTTGACAGATTGGATGTGGGAAATGAAGAAAAGAGGGAAATCAAGGATGATGCCTACTACTGGGAAAATATTTACCTATATTTAAGTCCCACCTCTACCCTTTTTTCTACGACATTGGGCGAGTCACTTTACTTTTTCAAGCTGCAGTTAACTCATTGTTAGGTTGAACTCGAGAACATCCTTGAAGGATTGTTGTGTTAACTGATTGAGCATTTACTCGGTGCCATGCATTGTTCTTAGTGCATTATGGATATTTAGTTTAATTTTCATAGAAATAGGTGATATAGGTGCTGCTATTTTCACCTTACAGATAAGGGAACTGAGGTATAAAGAGTTACCAGGTAGCTTGCCATGGTCACAAACTAGTAAATGGAGGAGTAGCTTTGAACCCTGGCAGTCTGGTTCCAGGACCCTGAGCCTAGGTGCTTAGCTACTAAGCACTTGTACCTTTAATGTGTGAAAAATAACTGGCCATTCTGGGCTGTTGAGTGTTTGTTCTGATACCACTTCCTCTGTCTTGCTTTCCTCCCTAACAAAAGAATGTAGACATCAGATGTTGAGCCTTGCCTCTCGCTCCAGGGGCAGTCTTGTGTTCCCCCATGTGGCTCCTTGCCTGTTTCTCCATTTTTTTTTTTATATATCTTTTTATTGATTTCAGAGAGGAAAGAAGAGGGAGGGAGGAACATCAATGATGAGAGAGAATCATTGATCAGTTATCTGCCTCCTGCATCGCCCCCTCCCCCCAACCAGGGACTGAGCGTGCAAGGTGGGCATGTGCCCTGACCAGGAATTGAACTGTGACCTCCTGGTTCACAGGTCGATGCTCAACCACTGAGCCAGGCCAGCCAGGCTTCTCCATTCTTTAGAAGCTCACGGCAGTAAGCAGGACTCATGCTGTCTTACCTGATCTCTGACCCTGCCTCCTTAGGTGGACATCTTTAATAAGGAGCTGCTGCTAATCCCCATCCACCTGGAGGTGCATTGGTCCCTCATCTCTGTGGATGTGAGGCGACGCACCATCACCTATTTTGACTCGCAGCGCACCCTAAACCGCCGCTGCCCTAAGGTTTGGAGGGAAGGCATTCCAGACAGAGGGCGGGTCTGGGGGTCTCTGGAGAAGCAACCTGGGCTTGGTGCCTGACCACCACACCGTGAGTCCACTTCTCCCATTTCTCCTGCATAGCATATCGCCAAGTATCTACAGGCAGAGGCAGTGAAGAAAGACCGGCTCGATTTCCATCAAGGTTGGAAAGGTTACTTCAAAATGGTAAGTTCTAGAGGGAGAGGCATGGAGTTCATGATTGGGATAGTGGTAGGAGGCACAAGTTTAAGTCAGCAGGTAAAGGCTCTACCTTCTTTCTGTTCTCTAGAACGTGGCCAGGCAGAATAATGACAGTGATTGTGGCGCCTTTGTGTTGCAGGTAAGCAGATGACAGTTGGATTGGGAGGGAGATGGGAGGCTGTTCTACATCCCTTATTTGGCTCAGCGCCACTTGTGGAGCAGGGAGTAATCGGATGTGTTAGAATGCAGACATCCTGGTTTCAGTGGTTCTTTTCTGGCTTCCACATCCCACATTATTCTCATCCTTGGTCCCTGGCATAGGCCTGCCTCCTCACTCCCATTGCAAAGTATTTTCTTTTTCTTTTTTTAATATTTTTTTATTCATTTTTCCCAGAGAGGAATGGAGAGTTAGAAACATCGATGAGAGAGAATCATCGATCAGCTGCCTCTTGCACACCCCCTACTGGGGATGTTCCCGCAACCAAGGTACATGCCCTTGACCGGAATCGAACCTGGGACCTTTCAGTCCCCAGGCCAACGCTTTATTCACTGAGCCAAACCGGTTTCGGCGCAAAGTATTTTCTTTATCTTAATACTACTTATTTCATATACCAAATAAGCACCTTGGATTTAGAGTCAGACTTTTTTATTTAGTCCCAGGCTATAGGGCCTTGGATTCTTCTATTTGTGAATGTTCTCTGAAAGATCAAATGAGATATATGTCATATGAAATGTGTAGCTCAGGTCCTGACTTAAGGGGATACTCAGTAGGTGGTTCTCATGGCCTGCTTTGTTAACACCTAGTACTGCAAGCACCTGGCCCTGTCTCAGCCATTCAGCTTCACCCAACAGGACATGCCCAAACTTCGTCGGCAGATCTACAAGGAGCTGTGTCACTGCAAACTCACTGTGTGAGCCTCGTATCCCAGGCCTCAAGCCCATTCGTTAATGGGCAGGGGGACATGGGAGACCCTTCTTCCCACGAAACAACAATTCCTTTCCTCTCTTGCCTCTCCCATCCAATTCCCTTTGGTTTTTCATATTTAAATGTTTTAATTGATTTCTGTATTTTTTTTTTTTTTTTGAGAGAAACTTGTTGTTTTCTGACATCAGTGGGTGGCCATGGAAAAGCCCCAGTTCCCTCTGTCTGCAGGGGACTATTGTGGCCTGGGTGGGGCAGTAATCCTCCTTCCATGTGTATGGGCGGGCCCAGGAAAATCTGTACTGGGTGGTGGGCGGGCAAAGGGATTACTGCCTGCCAGATGTTCAAACTTTTTTTTACAAATATATATAAATGCCACGGTCCTGCTCTGGTCAATAAAGGATCCTTTGGAGATACATAGTGGTGGTCTTCCTTAAGGGGCCTCAGGTTTAAGGGACATGCTCTACCTCAGGCTTTTCTCCAGTCAGTGCTGTTAACTACCCTTTTATGGGTCTTGAGACAAGGGGCCAGTTTGCCATCCTTGGCTCAGACACCAAAGAGAATCACCCACCCAGAGGAGCAAAGGATGGAAGGAGAGTAGGCAATCCTCAAAAATAGGGGAGCCTTAGAAGTACTAAAGTTGGGGGGCAGGACACTTAAGGGAAGATAGCCAGACAGGATTAAGACAGCAGCCCACAATGCTCTTAAGCCCGGAAGTCAGTTGTTCCATCTCCTCCCCTCCAGCCAGGGGAATCCTCCCAGCCGCTAGGGTATGGCTCCTGACCCCATCCTCCCCGCTGCACTTGGAACACACCCGGCTTTTGTCCGGTCTAATTCTGGAGAACAAAATGTGGGCCCGGTGAACACCTGGGACCGAAGGCAAAGGGAAGTGGGAGTCCCGGGAGCCCGGAAGTCCCTGGAGGCTGAAACCTCGCCCCCTTTTCATGATAGGGCCTGCGTGGCCACATGACAGGCTCTATCACCTCCGCACGTGTGGAGGTGCAGGGCCCCAAGATGGCTGCCTGGCCGCGAGGCCAGAGTCCTGTATGTCACTTCCGCGCCGGTCAGAAGGGCGGGCCCAGTAGCCAATGAGGCTGCGGGGCGGGTCACCAGCTTGATAGGCGCTCAAGTTATCCAATGGTGGCTACGTGCCAGGGCGCCTACAAACCAACGTCACGCCGAGTTGCTGAGCGCCGGCAGGCGGGGCCCAGGCGGCCAAGCCAATGCGATGGCTGGGGCGGGGTCGGGCGCTCTATAAGTTGTCGATAGGCGGGCACTCCGCCCTAGTTTCTAAGGATCATGTCTGCGAGTCAAGATCCCCGGTAAGGAAGGCACTTGCTCGAGTCCTAGACTACTTACCCTGCCGTTCCCCTCCGACGGCCCCGCGGCGGGTGTGGGGAGAGCCGAGGCCCACAGGGCTGCGGGGGAACCAAGCCAGGAAGCCGGTCCTGGGGGGGGACGCGGCGGGTCCCGGCGGAGGCGAATACAGCCTGGCTTTGCGAGCCCGGAGCCCTGGTTAGGCCTCGGCTGGAGACGGTGCCCGGAGCCCCGGCCCCGAGGGCGACAGGAGGTCGCGCCCCGGCGTGGGGAAGGGAGGCGGCCGCCGGCCCGGTGGCCTGTGCCGGAGGGAGGCCCCGCGCGCGCCGGATCCCGCAGGATTCTGGCGGAACCACTTGCCGGGGGAAGGGGGGGCTGGGTCCTCACGTCCAGTCGGGGCGTCGCGTTGAGAGAAGGTCTGGGGAGAAGAAGCCGGCCGTTCGGGGTGCTGGCCTTCTCGACGGCCAGGATGGAGCCCAAGCTCGAAGAGCAGCCGCGGGAGGCGCCAGCCCGCCGGGCCCCGGGCGGGCGGGTCCATTTTGCCACACAAGCCGGGCAATTGGCAAACTGCGGATGGGCAGGTCCACTTTCCTTCGGGGGTGATCGCCCCGAGGTATGGGGAGGGCGACGCCTTTTCGCGCAGGGGGCGGGCGGGGTGTGGGTTGTTCCATGGTGGGGGGGTTACGCCGCCGGGTGGTCGAGGAATTGAGCACATGGCGGCCCGATGTCCTCCCCTCCCCCAGCCCGCTTCGCCTTTAAGTGTTGTGCAACCTCCCCACGAGCTAGCTCGGCTGGGGCTCATTGTGCGCGAGGCCGCCACCGCCCGCGGCCTCCCACATCCGGGCACCGCGAGGGGGGGGAGATGGGCTGCCGGGGGTGGGGGAGGGCGCCAACGCAGTGACGTGGGGGGAAGGGGATGTCCTCCAGATTCTGGGAGGCGGAGGGCGGGACTTCCGGATCGCCGGGGCGGTGATGGGAGGCGCCCTCGCTCGGCCTCGGAGCAGCGTGGCCTGAGGCACGTGGGCCGGCGGCAAACCACCTCCGGGCCTCCAGATTTTTCTAGGCGAGTTACTCCATCATGTCGGAATGGCATGACCCGAGCCGCTCCCGGGAAGGGCCAAAGGCCTGATTCAGTTACAAAAGTAACTGCTGTGTCTCTAGTAACTACTAGGGATTGGGTTAGGGAGTGGAGATGGCACCACGTAAGGCGGGCTGCTGGTGGGAAGAGCCGGCTACCAAGATTTGTATGGTGCCTCAGTTTGCATACTCACTTTAAACCAACAGATCCAGAGACAATGGCCCCGATGGAATGGAGCCCGAGGGCGTCATCGAGGTGAGAAGAGAGCCCCATCACCATTACCCTTCGTTTCTGGGAATGGCATGTTACTGGCAGTGTCCCCTAGTTTCTGGAGTGGTGGTTCATTGTCTTAAGACTAATACCATACCCTGGGATTCATCTTTAATACGTAGCCTAACTCTGAAGTAATTAAGCTCTATTCACTGGGAGTCTTCACTTTTATATATAATTTGTTTACAATATTTGTGTCCCTGAGAGTATATGTGAAATAGTCTGTCATCCCTTCTAGAACCACCAGCCTCACAGTTTTCAAGTGACTGGTCCCTAGAGTGATTTCCTAGGCACTGTAGAGTCCTCTGGCTTCCCTGGGGAGGGGAAGAGGTTTTGAGGGCAGAAACAAGGCCCTATTTGCTCCAGTGTACGAGCCCTGTTTCTACTTTAATTTCTTTGCATCCTACAGAGCAACTGGAATGAGATCGTTGACAGCTTTGATGACATGAACCTCTCAGAGTCCCTCCTCCGTGGCATCTACGCCTATGGTTTTGAGAAGCCCTCTGCCATCCAGCAGCGAGCCATTCTTCCTTGTATCAAGGGTAAGATCTCGGTTCCAAAACAAGCTCTGAACTGTCCCTGGGTAGAGTTGCACCTGGTTTGGTGGTGTTTGTCTCACATTAGCCAGGGACAAAATAACTCCTTTATTTATAATATTTTATTTATAATATTTTAGCCAGCTCATAACTTCCTCTTTGCAGCTATATTTCTAGCCTATTTGATGCAGTACCATATGAGTTAGTGACCAGATCTGTTCCCATTAAGGTTCTGGTTGTGATAGTCAAGTCTGAAGTGCTTTGTGCCTGGCACATAACTCTACTAGGTGCTTATTGATAGTGTTTTGCAAGGCCTTGAAGGTCTCATGCCCCCAAGTGTATGCTCTCTACCATACCGAGTCTTCCTTCTGATTTCAGGTTATGATGTGATTGCTCAAGCCCAGTCTGGGACAGGAAAAACAGCCACTTTTGCCATTTCGATTCTGCAACAGATTGAATTGGACCTAAAGGCCACTCAGGCCTTGGTCCTGGCACCTACTAGAGAATTGGCACAGCAGGTGAGTGTGTAGCTTATTTCTCCTCCCCTCAAAGACTGATTTAGAATGATTGGCACAACCCAAAAACTGAGTATGCTCCCCAACCACCACCACCTTGCAAGAACTGCGGTATCTACCCAAACACAATAAACATCATTCCTCCTCTCATTTCCTGAGTCAAATGGGAAGCTTCTGGGTGGAGCCTGGCTTGCTGAGCAAGTCTGGCAGCTGTTTTATGGACAAACCCCCTGGCAATGGGCAAGGAGACACCTGATTGGTGGTGTTGGTCTTATATCAGTCAGGGGCAAAGCAGACGTACAGTCCTTAGTTCATCCTAGCTTGATGCCTGTGTCAGTGGCCAGAGCTGGTTCATGCCTGAGGCACATAAAGTAATTCTAGGTCTTGGAGGGGGAAAGGTCAGAAACATTGTCTGATAATAAGTAGATTATTGTTTAACTAATAATGATAAGTTTGGGATGAGGCTTAGGAGGGATGTAGTTTTAAAGTTCGTGAAGCTGTGATTGCTCTAGTAGCTTCTAGATAACAGTAAGTAGGTAGTTCTAGCACAACTCCATTAAGAGTGAACATGCCACATAGTTTTTGTGGCATGGATATGTTATTTGCACATAAAACTGGGTGCTATGAGAATAATAAGTGGGTCACTATTGGCTTCCTGCTTTCCAAAGATTGGATGGGAGTCTAGCGTGGTAACATTGGAATTATTTCAGAGGGCAGTTACTGTGAATCGTGTATTCTCAGGAGCCAGAATGTTCAAATCCTGAGTCTCTGCCATTTAACTGTCAGTGTGATCTTAGATGCATTTAACCTGCCTGTTTCTCGCCTGAAAAGTGAGTTTTAATAATAGTGCGTGTAAGTTGGGAAAAAACCATGAGATGCACTTAAAATGGGGCCTGGCACAGTTGTAGCTAATAATACATATGAGCATCTGTCTTTTTCTGGGTTCAGATACAGAAAGTAGTCATGGCTTTAGGAGATTACATGGGTGCCTCCTGCCATGCCTGCATTGGGGGTACCAACGTGCGTGCAGAGGTGCAGAAGCTACAGATGGAAGCTCCCCATATCATCGTGGGCACCCCAGGACGAGTGTTTGACATGCTTAATCGCAGATACCTGTGTGAGTATCGTCACCTGGTCCTCTGGCTCACTTGCCTCTTCTGCATGCTTTCCCAGCCTCCGCTGGCCGCAGTCTTCCCGCCAGTGAAGCTCATTAACCCCGGAAAGAGTTGCTCTGTGATGAACCCCATGCGTGTCATCTGAGCCTGGCTTCCCTGTCTCAGCCCGGCTAGTGTTCTACTTCCCAGGGCTAGTGTCTGGCCTGGCAAAGGATCAGAATTTGAATTCTGAGAGCAGACCACCTATCCATTTCTGGTTCTTTATTGGGAAAGTTAAACATATCTCCCTGATGACCACTTGTCTTCTTCCCCTTCCCCCTCCTCCTGCTCCTTAGCTCCCAAATACATCAAGATGTTTGTACTGGATGAAGCTGATGAAATGTTAAGCCGTGGGTTCAAGGACCAGATCTATGACATATTCCAAAAGCTCAACAGCAACACCCAGGTGAGAAACATTTAGTCTTACCTTTACGGCTGATCCTTTTTAGATTGGAGTTGGGGTGATAGAATTAAGAGTGAGGTGCCAGAGAATTCTCCATCCTTTTTATGCATTAGCTTGTTTTAGGTGGCAAAGGAGTATCCTATCTTAGGCTTACTGTTTTTATTTTCTCGCCTTAGGTGGTATTGCTGTCAGCTACAATGCCTTCTGATGTGCTTGAGGTGACCAAGAAGTTCATGAGGGACCCCATTCGCATTCTCGTCAAGAAGGAAGAGTTGACCCTGGAGGGTATCCGCCAATTCTACATCAACGTGGAGAGAGAGGTGGGGCCCAGTGCAGGAGGCGGACCTGGTAGAGAGTTGGGTGTGACCCCCCGACTGATTTTTCTTCCCCAACTTCACCCCCAGGAGTGGAAGCTGGACACATTGTGTGACTTATACGAAACCCTCACCATCACCCAGGCAGTCATTTTCATCAACACCCGAAGAAAGGTTGATTGGCTCACTGAGAAGATGCATGCCCGAGACTTCACTGTCTCTGCCATGGTGAGTCCCCCTTATTAACCAGCAGTGTGTATCAGTAGCCCCTGTAAGCCAGTTTTTAGGACCCATGTGGCAATACTCTTCTTTCCTGTTCTAGCACGGAGATATGGACCAAAAGGAGCGAGATGTGATCATGAGGGAGTTCCGCTCTGGCTCAAGCAGAGTATTGATCACCACTGACCTGCTGGTGAGTACGAGGGAATTGATACAAAAACAGAAGGGAGAAACCAAGGTGATTCCCTCTCCAAGGGGACTCACAGTGCCCCTCTTCAGGAAAGTAGCAACTTGGAATAAAATCTGGCATGCCTCAGGTTCTCAGGGGAGAAGGTGATACGTCATTTCCTTTGCCTTTGGCTGCCTACATGTATACTCGGGTTCCTCTGGGTAGCTTAATGCCCTCCTCACATGCTGAAGCTGTCCTATTTTCTTGCCGTAGGCCAGAGGCATTGATGTGCAGCAGGTTTCTCTAGTCATCAACTATGACCTTCCCACCAACAGGGAAAACTATATCCACAGGTGAGTGCATTTACCCAGCCCCTCCTGCCCAACCCCCGCTGAGCTGGAAACTGTGTGCTGGGTCCTAAGGTGTCCTTCTTTTCCAGAATCGGTCGTGGTGGACGTTTTGGCCGTAAGGGTGTGGCTATTAACATGGTGACAGAAGAAGACAAGAGGACTCTTCGAGACATCGAGACCTTCTACAACACCTCCATTGAGGAGATGCCCCTCAATGTTGCTGACCTCATCTGAGAGGGCTGGCCTGCTACCTCATCCCAGCCAGGGTTCTCAGTCCTTGGCAGGCTGAGGAGGAGCAGGAGGGGGGAGGGAAGGGAGCCAAGGGATGGACATCTTGTCAATTTTTTTCTTTTTTTTTTTCCCCTTTGAATAAATGTCACTTTTTGAGGCAAAGAAGGAACCGTGAACAATTTAGATACCCTTTTCTTTGGGGTAGGCTCATGCCCCAGGCGCCGTCTCTTCTCCCCAAAACACTAATCCACTTCCCTAACCTAGTCAACCTCCAAACCCCAGACTCCCTGCTCCAGCCAAATTCCTCTGAAAATGATTCCTCAAGGGGCTGTGTCACTCAACCTCATTTACTGGACCAAATCTGGAGGGAGAGCCCTTGAGTTAGGTGGCCCAGGGGATTGTCCCCATGTGGGGGGAGCAGGGGAGAAAAAAAATAGTAGCCATTTTTACATTGTTTTGTATAGTATTTATTGATTCAGGAAACAAAATTCTGAATAAAATTACTTGGAAACTGCCTGTTTGGGCTTCTCATTTCTTCCCTTTCCCACCTGCTATGGGGTATATATCCCTCTCCCCTACCCCTAGCTGATATTTTACCCTTCTGTTATAATAGTCATTTAACAATGTGACCCTTGCGTAGGGTTGGGCAATCCCCATCACAAGTGCCTCACATGCTTCCACCAAGAGGAAGTGACGGGTGGAGGGGGAAACTGGACTGGTAACTTGGTTTTTATGTTGAATGTTTCCTGGGGGACTTTGGGAACCAGAGGGACTGCCTTTTGACTGTTCTGTAATCATTTGCCAGAACGGTTGGGTTTTGTTGAGGTGACTAATGGTCCCCAAAGATCAATGCTCAACTCACTCTCCCTACATGATGGTCTCGACTCTTGACAACTCCCACTTCGGTGAAGCCAGGGCCAATCATCTAGTGACAAAAACCTGATGACTAAGTGGTGGCTGGGGCTGAGGTCCCTGAGTCAGGTTGTGGGGCAGGGCTAGCTTAGTTACAGGAAGTTAAGACTTTCGTTTCCTCCTTTTCCAAAAGGAGGCAGGGGATAGGGTAGACTGGGTACGCAGCGGTACACTACCAAGAGCTCCGGCTGCTCCGCCATGAAGTTTGCTTTGCTTTTCCTGGGGGCTGTGCTGGGACTACTAGCAGGTAAGGAAAAGCACTTAAGGAGGGAGGTGGGGGAAGAGAGCCCCCCAGGAAGGAGCCTGTCCCTGGGTTGCTAACCAGTCTGTCTCCGGCTGAAAGCCCAGGGGACGGGGAATGACTGCCCTCGCAAGAAATCGGCCACTCTGGTACCATCCTTCACGGTGACGCCTACAGCTACGGAAAGCACAACAAGCCATGGAACCACCAGCCACAGAACTACCAAGAGCCACAGCACCACCACCACAGGCACCAGCCATGGACCCACTACAACCACTCACAATCCTGTCACCACGACAAGCCTTGGAAATACCACGGTTTATCCAACAAGCAACAGCACTGCCACCAGCCCAGGACCCTTCACCAGCAACAGCACTACCACCAGCCCAGGACCCTTCACCAGCAACAGCACTGCCACCAGCCCAGGACCCTTCACCAGCAACAGCACTGCCACCAGCCCAGGACCCTTCACCAGTTCCCCCAACCCAGGACCACCTCCACCCTCACCCAGTCCCAGCCCAGGCTCCCAGGCAGCTGTAGGAGACTACATTTGGACTAATGGCTCCCTGCCCTGTGTCCATCTCCAAGCCCAGATTCAGATTCGAATTCTGTACCCAACCCAAGGTGGAAGAAAGGTAAAGCTAAAAGGGATAACTAGGGGATAAGACTGATTCAGAAGGGAAGAAGGAAGAGGAGAGGAGACCAGTATAGGGGGAGGTTGAAAGAAAGGTATTTTAGATGGCACAGCTGTGTAGCCTTATGACCCTATTATCTTTAACTTCCACAGGCCTGGGGCATCTCTGTACTGAACCCTAACAGAACCTCGCCCCGGGGAGGCTGTGAGGGTGCCCATCCCCACTTGCTTCTCTCATTCCCCTATGGACAGCTCATCTTTGGATTCAAGCAGGTACCTCACCCCTCCTCCCTCACTCACTCTCCGAGTATCCTTTCCCTATTAATCCCTGCCGCATCCCTCTATCACTCTCCCCTATGACCCTGAGCTTTCCTGGTCACTTTTGCAGGAACCACTGCAGAGCACTGTCTACCTGAACTCTGTGGCTATGGAGTACAATGTGTCCTTCCCGCAAGCAACACGTGAGTTCACCTTCCCTTTCTCATCACTTGCACTAGATGTTTGGACTCCTGAAGGGACCTAAGCTGGAGGATGGGGATGGGGATGTGGATATAGAGCTGATCCTTCCTCACTCTCTTAGAATGGACATTCTCAGTTCAAAATTCATCCCTTCGAGAACTCCAAGCTCCGTTGGGCCAGAGCTTCAGCTGCAGAAATGCAAGCATCATCCTTTCACCAGCTTTCCACCTCGACCTGCTCTTCCTGAAGCTACAAGCTACTCACCTACCCCCTACAGGGGCCTTTGGACCAAGTAAGACTTAGCTTCTAACCTTCTAGAACTCTTCAACTGCACTAAAAGCCCCTACTCCAGGCTACGGCCCTCCCTTCCTTTACATTACCCATTCATTTACTGCTGTCATCTAGGTGAGTTTCTCACCAACTGCCTACGTACTCTTAACATCCCCCATGTTCCTTCCTCCCACCTTTATCCCACCACCACCATTGTGATGCTTGCCCCGTCTTTCTGCCAGGTTTTTCTTGCCCCAATGACCAATCCACCTGGCTGCCTCTTATCATCGGCCTGATCGCCCTCGGCCTCCTCGCCTTGGTGCTTGTTATCCTTTGCATCTCCCGGAGACGTCCACCCGCCTACCAGCCCCTCTGAACCACTCAGCTGCCTCAGAGACAAAGTTATCTTCCTTCCCTCCGTCTTGAAGAACAAAATCAAAGATAACGCAACTGGGAAAACTGAAGGGAGGTGTTTTTATTAAATATGACATTCCCTCTCCCCCTTCCCCAATGGGAGAATAATAAAGCCTACTCAAATCTATCTTTGGTTTTCCTTGTCCTTCCTGTCAGGATTAAAAGCCATGAGTTTCTTGCCATATGGTTTCTTTGCGTTATATGGTTGCGTCTAAGGGAGCTGGTGAGGAGGGATGAAAATGTCAACGTGTGACAAATACCCTCATGGGTTCCTCCCCCAAAGCCTGGTGTGTAGCTGGCGTTGAATCTGCTCACCTCCCTTCCTCATTCTGGGCCCTTGGCTGCGCCAGCTCCTCCTCTCCAACCCAGTAGAGTCACCCATCCTGGAGGTATTCTTCCCGACCCTTACATGCAATTATAGGTGAAGCAGGCAGCAATAGCAATGAGTGTGGGAGGCAAGGTCACACCTGTATCATTTTGTTTCCAAAGGATGGGCTAGTGGCTCCTTAGCAACAAGAATGCCTGCCCCGCCCACTGTGTTGATTAAACCCTGCACCTAGGATGCTTCCTCGCCTGCAAAGGGTTTCATCAACAATGGGAGGGAGCAGTGGGCATTGCAACCTCCACATCCGATTCCCTCTGTGCTCCTGGGAACCTCCAGCCTGGGCTGCCCAGGGAGCCAGCCCTGATATTCCAAATGGTGGTGGAGGGCAGCCCGTGTCCACATTCTACAAAAGGGCCTGCCAGACAGCCTGCACCATCACCGAGTGCCACTCTCTCTCCAGTACAATTGCTGGGGGCCAGAATGGGACCCTGCCAGTTGTTGGAGGCCTTGACGCAACAGAAAGTAGCCCCTGGGACCTAGAGACCCACCACCCCACTGTGGGCAGCCTCCATGTGGCAGGGTCCCAAGAGCCCCACCACTCCTCACAGACATCCCCTACGGCCGGGCAGACTGTGCCATGAGAACAAGACAGTGTGGTGCTAGCAGCAGAGCATGAAGGCCAGTCCCACCGCCGGGATGGCCAGGGTTAGTGTCCCAGTGCTGGGGGGCAGAGGGCATCACACCCGCCAGGTAGTCCAGGTGTCCTTTCCCCGGCACGAGCTGCTGGGCCCATTTAGCCCTGTTAAGCCCTTCCTTCCTCAGAGCGAGGTCACAGGGGGTGGAGGGGACTCAGGGCCCTGCGTGTGCTTCAGGGAACCCACCGGGGCTGGGCTCCGCAGGGGGCAACAGTGCCATTCCCTGAAAATGGCCTCGTCTCTCCACCTCCTCCTCTTCTGCTTCGCTGTCCCTGGGAGCAATCGCTGGCGCGCCCATTCGCCAACGCCGGGGTTAAGGAGAGGAGGGAGAAGCGGAGCCCTGCCCGCACCGCGAGTCCGCAAACGGCTTCCTGGTGCAGGCTCTCCTGCTCCCGCCGGTGCCATTCTCACTGGAGACGCCGAGAGAACAAAAGTTAGAGAGGCACAGCGCCCCCACCCAACGCCATTTTGGAGACTCAGCTCCTCTCTCAATTCTGAACAGTCAAGTCCGCGGGGAGGAGATAAGATGGCGCCGAGCGGGAGAAGCGGAGAAAAGCAGGAAGAGAAATCTTGCTTCCAAACTGGAAGGGTAAACAAAGGCGCAAGGCAATGAAGTGCGCAGGCGTACAGCGTTAGCCTGCGTTAACATTCAAACAGCAGGGAGGGGGGCCTGAAACGTGGTCTCGGGACGGGACCTATTTCACGCTGAGAAAGAGCGGAGCGCAGGGGCGGGCCAGCTCGGCCCCGGAAGACAGGGGGCGGGGTTTCAGGGCGCGCATGCGCACCGGAGGCCCATGAGGCTCGGAAGGAACTGGCGGAAACGAGCTTTACAATATGGCGGCCGAAGCTGACGGGCTGCTCAAACGGGTGCTGGTGCCGCTTCTTTTACCTGAGAAATGCTACGACCAATTTTTCGTCCAGTGGGATTTGCTTCACAGTGAGTTTTATTTGGCATCTGGTCAAAGTTCTGCTGGAGCGCCAGAGTGGGGCGTGACCGCGGACTTAAGTGATGGCGGTGAATACTGCATGGCTTTGCTGGGCGGAAATTACTTCTGATAGGGGCGGAAGTGTCTCGGACTCCGTAGAGAGAGTGCGCCATTTTGGGATGAAGGGGGATCGCCGGGTGGAAGTAATTCTCTGGGAAGTTTATGCTTGAGAAAACGGAAGGTCAAAAGACTCAAATTTTATAAAACGAAGTTAAAATATAATCCAGTAGTTCCAGCCTTCAATTGATCGCTATACCTTCAGGAGCAAGGCTAGATTTGATTGCAGGCCTCATGAATCCAGGCCTTAAGCGTCACCCCCAAAGCTTCCTGCCATCCCGATGATGCTTTCCTTCCAGCCCCCACGTTTGTCGATGGTCTAATTTTGGAATAACTTGACTTCCTTCAACTTTCTACGAGGCAGTTCCACAGCAAGGCCCGTCTGAGAACTCAGACGCTTTGGGGAGCTTTCCCAGTCTGCCCCTCGGCTCATGGCGCCCCACTGTGCTGCTGAAACACTTTGTTTTACCTGCTTTCATGACCCCGGAGACTCTTGACACCCGCTGGGCCAAGCTCCTTGAGAAGAAAACTCAAAGGCTGGAGAAAATGTGGGTGGCCTGGGCCCTGGAAGGGTAGGACTAGCAACAGCGGGTTCAGGGGTGAATAGTAAAGACGAGATCCAAGTGGGTCGCCCCTAGATGCTTAGTGAAGGAGAATAAAGGAGCGGAGTTCTCTTGGGCATTGTTCAGCTTTATACAGGGAGAGCTTTTGAAGCAAGACCAAGGAGTTTATTTTATGTTATTCTCACCTGAGGACATGCCTAGAGAGAGGAAGGGAGAGAGAAACATGGGTCAGTGTCCTTCAATATGCTCCCCGACTGGGGATCAAACCAGAAACCTAGCTCTGTGCACTGGCCTGGAATCAAATCAGCAGCAACACTCAACCGGCTGGCCAGACCAAGGAGCTTAGATGTAATCTTCAGGGAATGAAAAATTGGGTTGGAGGGAAAGAATGGTGAAAGCTGTTTTGGAAGTTACCTCATCTTAGCATATGATTTGGAGCAGTAAGGGCCGGCCTTTCCCCCCTGCCTCCAGACAACCCAAGGCTTCCTTGTGTGGGTATGTCCTGGTCTGAGGGAGCAGTGGCCGACCACAGAGGTGCTTTACGTCTATAGGCCTGTACTGTCTCCTGAAAACCCTGGTCTGGGTTCCGGGGATCTCTCTGCTTACCCCTTTTTCTCTTCGCAGTCCCCTGCCTGAAGATTCTCATCAGCAAAGGCCTGGGGCTGGGCATTGTAGCTGGGTCACTTCTGGGTATGTGTTTCATCTTCCTTTTCCTGCTGTTGGGTGGATGGAGATTGAACTGGGTGGATCCCTTAACCAGAAGTGGGATTAACATGTTTCTCAATAGCTGTTTTATTGTGCTTCCAAGGCTTATCAACTCTTCAACCCTACCCTTCTCATCCTTTCTCAGTAAAACTGCCTCAGGTGCTTAAAATCCTTGGAGCCAAGAGTGCCGAAGGGCTGAGCCTGCAGTCTGTAATGCTGGAACTAGTGGCATTGACTGGGACCATGGTCTACAGCATTGTCAACAACTTCCCCTTCAGGTGAGGTGTTTGCCCTTTATTCCCAAGGGTAAATACCTACCACTCTAGTCGGGTCCGGGTGACGGAGGTCAAAGGGCAGGAAAAGCTTAAGCCCTTTTGGAAATAGTCATCGCCTATGGAGCTGATGAGAGGAGGTGAGCTCTAGATTCAGTGAGTCAGTCGGAGGTGGTGGTGGCGGTACTGGGAGGCAGGAGGCAGGACCCAGCAGAGCTGTGGAGGGCAGGGAGTAATCAGATTACTGTGTCCCCAGATGGATGGGCTATGGAGGCTTTTCCTGCCTCTTTCCAGGCCCGCCTTTCTTCCTTCCAACTCTTGACTCTGCAGCTCTTGGGGTGAAGCACTATTCCTGATGCTCCAGACAATCACCATCTGCTTCCTGGTCCTGCACTACCGAGGACAAACTGTGACAGGTGCTGGGATTTACCCGAGAGCAGCTGTGGCTCCCGAGAGCCTGCCGGCTGGAGCTCAGGCCTGGGGAAGCCAGAGGACTCCTGAGGTTGATGAGGACTCCTTGTCTCTGACTCCTAGGTGTGGCTTTCCTAGCGGGTTACGCTCTGGTCCTGCTGATACTGCTTTCTCCACTGACGCCCCTGGCCGTGATCACCATACTCCAGGCCTCCAATATGCCTTCTGTGGTGGTGGGGAAGGTGCGTACTGGGTGCAAGGAAAGAAATATTGAGCAGAATGGAAGCTGTGTGTGAGAATATTAGACTAAGGAGAATGGGGGAATCTGATGGGAACATGGGAAGAATTCAGAAGATAGAGAGCAAAGGGTCTCAACTCCTGTTCTAGCTGCTCCAGGCAGCCACCAACTACCGCAATGGGCACACGGGCCAGCTCTCAGCCGTCACAGTCTTTTTGCTCTTTGGGGGCTCCTTGGCACGAATCTTCACCTCCATTCAGGTGAGTTGACCTTCTCCCCTCTGGGGGGCACTAAAACATCTTACCTCCCACCCGCGGGCTTAAAGCTGCCTGGTCTCTGGAGCCTTTTGAGGGGGCGTTGGAGAGTGACCCTAGCTGTTTCTCACGTTTAGGAAACGGGAGATCCCCTCATGGCTGGCACCTTTGTGGTCTCTTCCCTCTGTAACGGCCTCATTGCTGCCCAGCTCCTCTTCTACTGGAATGTGAAGGCACCTCGCAGGAAGAAAGAGGAGTAGGGGGGCTGAACTGGTCGTTACCATCCATTCCATGTTTCTGTTCGTCCGCCTAACCTCAGGGTCCGTCTGAGCCCGCCTGCCAGCGGGACTTCATCATTCCCCATTTCTCTGCAGATGCAGCTTTCTGAGCCAGAGTTTGTGTTTCCATGGAAAGGCATAGAAGGTGGACCAGATTATCAGGCTGACATTTATACTGATTGTGCACTGTCCTGTGTATGCACTACCAATTAATTTAACCACTTGCTGAACTTCTTTTTTTCAGCAATTTCTAGCTGCTTACCTATTCTGGGCAAGTCTTGCCCTGCCCTCCCATCTCCTCACTTCCCTTTGGCCTTAAGAGGACAGAGCCTGGACAGGGCCAGGGACGAGAGACGTGTGGCTGCCTCCCTCCCCCAGCCTGGCTGGGACTGCCTCCTGGCCCCCAGTGCTGGGTGGGAGGCAGGGGAGGGGGGATGGAGAATGACTCAGTCAGGGCCGCAGGGTGGGGTGAGGAGGTTCCTGCTCTGGCAGGTCCAGGCAAAAGGGAGTGGAGATGATGCTGGTTCCTGTTGAGGGGGAACAGAGATGGGGCAATAAAGACGCAGAGACATGGCTTAATTGTACAAAACTGTGTTTGTCCTACAAAAAATATAAAAACTTGTGTTGCTCCCTCTGGGTGGGTAGGCGGGGGAGGGAACTGGACCACAGGCCTCTAAACCGGTCAAATGTGCAAAAGAAGGGTTTGCAGTTTGGAAGTGGGGGGGATAGTTCTGGGTGAAAAAGAGGTTGGAGCCCTTACTGGGAGGTTCATACCCATGCTTACTAGAGGTGGGCCAGCGGCATGGGGGCCCCTGAGAGGGGAGGGTTGTAGGGAGTAGAAGTGCCTGGGGGTGGGTAGGGATTATAAGGGGGGAGCAGTTCCCCCTGGAGCCTAGGGTTACTCTGATGGAGGGAGCACGTTGAGGCCTCCGGTTTAGAGTGGGAAGAGCTGCAAAGAGAGAAATACGGGTTAGAGGGCTATTCCTAGGTTGATGGTGCCAGGCAGGGTCCCCAGTGTGCGTGTGAGGGCAGGTCTGACCCATTCTGGGTAGACAAATAGAACCTACCCATCCCTGGCTATTTGGGCCCCACGAGGTACTTCAGGTCCAGAACCAGACCCAAGGCTAGCTCAGAGGCAGGCAGCCTTGTTGGGGCAGGCTCACCAGCGAGCTTGCGTGCTGTGCTCCTGTTTTCCTCTCGGGGCAGCAGGCCAGAAAGGGGCAGAATTGGGATTAGCCTCTCCTTGCCCTGGGGGCTGAGGGGAAGTCGGGTCACATCAGGGCCAGAAGCGGAGGTGGGGAGTGGGGGGAGATGGAGGAGGGCCATGGCAGGAAATCCAGATAGGTAACAGGAACAAGATCAACATCTAGGGGCCAGTAGTCTGCCCCCTTCGACCCCGCTGCAGGGCCCTGCCAGGCTGATGGGAAAGCCCTCCAGGAAAACCCTGGGCCACCAGAACCCTTCCAAAGAGCTGGGAGTGCTGGTAATGGTGCTGCTCAAACCTTAACGGCCGTCCCTAAACCCCAAAGGGGTGACCTCCGCTTTGGTGGGTTCAGGCCCTTGTCAGCCAGGCCCTCTGATACGTGCCCCATCTAGGCTCAGCGAGGGAGGACACGGCATCTCCTTCCTCACCCCCGCTCCCAGCCACTTACATGAAACCACGAGGCAAGTAGGATGTCGAGTAGTTGGGGGGCTGGTACCCAAAGCCTCTGCTCCCATGGGTGGCAGCGTATCCTGGCCCCCAGAGAGCCACACCGCCGCTTCCCGGGCAGAAATGGGGCAGCCCAGCTCCCGCGCTCTTCGTCTTGCGCCGTGGCCGGTACTTGTAATCGGGGTAGTCGCGCAGGTGTCGGGCCCGCAGCCGCTTGGCCTCCTCCACGAAGGGCCGCTTCTCGTCCTCGCCCAGCAGCTTCCACTGCGCGCCCAGGCGCTTGGAGATCTCCGAGTTGTGCATCTTTGGGTTTTGCTGCGCCATCTGGCGGCGCTGAGCGGAGCTCCACACCATGAACGCGTTCATGGGTCGCTTCACCTTCTCCAAGGGAAGGCCCCCGGAGACCACGGGGCTCTCAGCGTCCTCCCGCTCCCGGGAGCCCGAGGAGGAGGAGGAGGAGGCAGGGGCCGTGGGAGTGGGAGGGTCCAGGCTCCAAGCCTGGTCTTGTGCGAGGCCGGGTAGCGCCATGGGGATGAAGGGAAGCCTTAAAGAGGGCGCCTACACACCCTCTCCTCGAAAGCGAAACGTTGGTCTCCAAACTGTGTCCTTAAAATGGAAGTGCCTAATAGTATGGAGTCCTTCTAGAGAATCTTGTCCCCAAGTTCAAGAGTCCTTATTCTGGAGCCCCCGCTCCCTACCGTTTAATCCTGCACCCTGCAGGGGAGTGGAGTGCACAATCTGTCCCTACAGCAGGTTGCTTTCTCCTTTCCTTGCTGCGGTGCAGTGCCAGGCCCAGCCCCGCTCCTACCTCTAGCTGCTCGGTCTTTGGTGGAGGCCGTCTGCTTCCTGCTCGGACGCTACTATCGCAGCTGAGGCCGGGGCGCAGCCCGGGTACCACAGCACTCGCACCTGGCCTTGTGGGTGAGTCAGGCCCGAGAGGGAACAGCTTTTAACGACTGACTCCTCCCCACTCCCTCCCGGCAGGCCGCGCCTCAAGAGCGCCGGCATCACAGTCCTGGGCGGACTCAAGTATCCGGCTCTTCCCAGCCCCCAACACCTCAGGGCACCACGCCCCCTCCCCACCCAGGACCCGGCAGTCTAGCCTTCCAGCCCAATAGCTCTGGGTCTTCCCCTCCCTTTTTAAGCTTTGGCAATTTAAAGTCAATTCCTTTGCACAACGGGAGCAAACACCCAAATCAAAAGCCCTCAGGGTCAATTGTGCTAGGAAGAACTAGAATACCACACACCCACCCCAAACCCTTTTCTTGCACCCAGTGCCCCTCAAAACCGATCTGCCCCTGGGGCAAGAAAGTCAGGGCAGTTACTGGGAGGCAGGCCATTCTTGTTGCCTGAGTCATCCCAGCAGGTGCTTAGGTGGTGATTCAACACCACTCCAGGTGAGAAAACTTAAAACTCCCAACTCGGCCCCCCAAACAAAGGATTCTCCACCACTCGCTTATCTTCAAACTTGAGTCAGTCTGGAGGCAGGGATCTCTCCCTTGTGGTTGAGAGATCGGTGACATAAGATGCTGGGAGATAAAAAAAAAAAAAAAAAAAAAAAAGTCTGATTCCAGAGCAGGGAATGGGGGCTGGACATCTAGGTCTCACTCTGCCCAAGACTCAGCCCAAGCCCCAGGCCTCAAGTAATCCGATTAAGCAGCCAGTCTTGGCTCTTGGCTCCTAGCAGGAACAGTTCCAGCTTGGCCAGCCCTACCTAGCCAGCTGTGACTCAGGGTACAGGAGTGGCCCAGCTCCCTCCAGCAGCACACTTGGGGGGAGGAGAGAAGCAGCAAGACACAAGCCACTCCTCACCCAGGAGGGTACCTGGGCCTAGGGAACTGAAGACTGCCCAGAATCCCCACAGTAGACCATTCTAGAACACGAGAGCCAGGTGCGGAGAAACAGAAGGCAAGGGCCGGACCAGCTCAGTCTTAGGAAAACAGCTGGACCAACTGGCACAAAGAAGACACAAGAACCAGAGAGCTGTTTGGATTTTTTAATTCTCTTTTTAAATACTGTACAGTGAAAAATAAATACGCCTTCTCATCCACCAGATAAGGTTGGTCCCCCTTTCCCTGGGGGACCTTGTCACCCCCTTCATACACACCCCTGGTTCTACTCCAAAACCTTCCCCATGCCTCCCACCCACTATACCCTTACTATCCCCGTCTTCCACAGTGATGAGGCCCCAGAAATCGGGGGTACAGGATGGTAGGAGGGATAGCAGGGGAACCCCCCTGAACTGTCAAATCTGGGTGGGTCAAGAAGCACCCCGCACCAACAGGCGGAGAATGGGGGTGTTCAGAGAGAGATTGGGGCATTAGAGGATAAAGGCACATCCAGTCTGATGGGGAAGGAGGCTCCCCTCACCCTGGGGTAGGGTGGACAAGAGGGAGGTGGGTATGACCCTGTTACACACCCTCCACTAGCTCCTGGAGGTTGGGGAGGGGGACCCAAGCTTTTCTGCCACCCCCCTCCCCCCTAGATAAGAGCAGCTCCAGCGCAGGTCAGTCGGGCCTGTGAGGGCCATGGTGTTGGGCAGCAAGCGAGATGGAGAAGGGAGGGATGCAGGCTGGAGGTTTTATGAAACCCCATTCACCAAACTACCCAACTCCAGGGGAACAGAGAGCTCCCCATTCTCTGAGGGGCCCTTAGGAAGCTTGCTGACAGAGTCACCCTGAGGGGAAAGTGGGAAAGAATGGAGAGGAAGAAGTGGTCAGTAGAAATTCAGGTTACGACATTGTCTACCATCCTAGCCTGGCATCTGGTGACCCAGGGATTGGTCCTTAAACTAAGTCACTGTCATTGGGACCATAAAATATGAACCAAACTTTCCTGGAAACTTCTTTTAAATTCTCCACTATTCTAAATAGAGTCTAAATTCCATCAGACAGTCTTCTCTGCCATTTATCAAGAGATTTCTTTGTTCCCTAACCAGTTTTGCTCAGTGGATAGAGCATCAGTCTGCAGACTCAAGGGTCTCAGGTTTGATTCTGGTCAAGGGCATGTACCTTGGTTGCAGGCACATCCCCAGTAGGGGGTGTCCAGGAGGCTGCTGGTGTTTCTCATTGACCTTTCTAATTCTCTCCCTTTCCCTTCCTCTCTATTAAAAATAAATAAAACATATATATTTTTTTAAAAAAAGATTTCTTTGTGAAATTTCTTGTGTCCCTTGCCCCTAAAGAACAAAAAAGGGGAGGAGAGTAAATTGCATCTTGCTTGCCTACCTTCTTCTGTCCTGAAAGAGAGTCCTCTAAGGGTTTAGTGCGCTCCAGGGTTGGCCGCTGGCGGCTCTGAGACTCTGCTCGGGAGATATAGTCAGCCACAGTCACTGCGGGAGGCAGAGGACCAAGAGTTTCAGAAGGAAGCCAGGTATCCAGCCCCTAGATACCCAATGAACTCCAGGCCCTGGTTATCATAGGGTAAGAGGCATCCCATTCTCTCAGCTCTAAGGAAGGATGCTGGTACTCAGTGTTTGCTGACCTGGTTGGCGATCTCCACTGACAGAACCATCAGTACGGTTACCGCGGTTACGGCGGCGGCGGCTCCTATTTCGTCGCTGAGGTTTGGATTCGTCTTCTGTGAGACGGGAAAATTCAAATCATGCACCCAAACTCCCATCTCTCAGTTCTTGCCCAGCTCTACTTTTTAAACACCCCTTACCCAGGCCGTTTTCTGTCGTGCTGAGCCCATCAGACTCCAGGCCTCCATCCATCACAGTCCTGTCTTCATCCGTGCGCCGGCGGCGGGAGCGGCGGCGCCTGGCACTCGCTGGGGGGGGCTCCCCAGGCTCTGAATCAATCGGAGGCTCTGGTTCCGATGTGTCCAGGAGGCTGTAGGGATTACTGTCTGGATCCTTCAGCACTGGTTAGAAAAGGAAGAATTAGAAAGTCAGGTGCCCACCGACTTTCCCTTTGTCCTACGTCACGACCCAGCTGTCTGGCACTATACCTGAGCTAATAGATGAAGAGTTGTATCTCGAAGTAGGCCGGGGAGCAGGTGGAGGTCCCCTACCCCGGCCCCCAACTGGCCGCCTCCGGCTCTCTTCCCCCCGGGTTGGGGGGTCTCCTGTCCCAGCTCGGAGAGGCTCTTCCCTCTTCTCAGACTCGGTCTCAGAAGCTGTAGATGGATCTGAGCTGGGGCCTAAAGAACACAGGGAGTTTAATCAAGTCACTCCCCCCAATCCCAGGATCCATCACTGTCCCCAAACTGGAAGACTTCTCACTTCCCCAGACCACTGTCACCTCATCACTCTTTCCACCCAGACCTTTGCCTCTCCTCACCAGCCCCGCTGTCGGCCTCCCTCTCCACGGCTTCCTTACCATAGGCAGGACCGCCCGTCCTCCGGCCCCGGCCCCGGCCCCCGTAGCTGCCCCCATAGGTTCGCGTGGCATGCAGGGAGGAGGAGCTCTCATCCGTGGTATATCCAGCTTTGTCACTGCCTCCGGTGCCCCTCCCGCTCCCAGGAGGGCGAAAGCCCAGCCCAATCTGCCGAAGCTGTTCATCAATTTGTAGCCTCTCTAAGCGAAGTTGCTCCACCTCCTGGTTGGGTAAAAAATGGAGGAAGATGTGGAAGAGGAAAAAGTATAAGATCAGTGAACAGACTCCTTTCATATTCTCTGCCCCGACCATCCCTGCGTAACTTTACTTTCAGGAATGTAAGAAGGAAGGCATTGGTTAAACAAAAAATATTATGGGATCCAACTCCACAGCCCCAAATTCCCACCCAGTGGTTTCTATATTCTACGCAGAGGGACAACGCCCAACTTAATCCACCAGCAGGCCTCGCCCCCTTGCTAGACCTCAGAGCTTCCTCTCCCAGGTTTCTAGCTTGGGTACCTGCAGGTAGGAGAGGTGATATTCCAACAGAGCCTGAGCATTGCTGATGTTCTCTCGAGTGCCAACAAATATGAAGGGAACCATTCCCTGGAGAATAGAGGGAAAGGCAGATGGATTAGAAGGAGAGCCAACTGGAAGTATTAATTCTGCCCTATCTCCCCTGGGAGCCCAACCAATGGGATCATTGAGAGAGAGGGAGAGAGGGAGGAAGGGAGGGAGGGAGGGAGGGAGGGAGGGAGGGAAGGATGGAGGGAGGGAGGGAGGGAGAGAGAAAGAGAAAGATCAATTTTGCTGTCCCACTTACTTACTTATACATTCACTGGCCCACAAACTTGGCATATGGGGATGACTCTTAACCAACTGAGCTACCTGGCCAGAGACCAACGTGATCTTTCTGGCTCTACATCAAGGGGGCAACAAAATACTCTACCCCCACTGGAAATCCTAGCCCTCAGAGAATGGCTTTGTGAGCAATCCCATCTGCTTCTGGACACCAATCTCCAGGCATAGTTGTCCATACCTCCTCCCTGGGGTTCTTCTTGTCATTATCACCTTCTACTCGAACCCTCACCACACCAGATTTATCCACGATCTCCTGGATTACTTTTCCATTCTTTCCAATCACTTTGCCTGAATGGGTAAAGGACAATTTAGACCTTTTTTTTTAAGGAGAGAAAGAGTCAAAACAGTTAAGATAGTCATTCAGCTTCTATATGTAGATTTTGTTTATTATTCTACTGCATCTACTGCATCCTATTAAGTTTTTACAAAACAAAACATTACAATCCCTAGAAATCTGTTCTTCCTTTTTTTTTTTTTTTTTTTTTTAATACATTTTATTGATTTTGTACAGAGAGGAAGGGAGAGAGATAGAGTTAGAAACATCGATGAGAGAGAGTCATCGATCAGCTGCCTCTTGCACACCCTCTACTGGGGATATGCCCGCAACCAAGGTACATGCCCTTGACCGGAATCGAACCCAGGACCCTTCAGTCCCCAAGCCGACGCTCTATCCATTGAGCCAAACCGGTTTCGGCTGTTCTTCCATTTTTGTCATTCCTACTATAGATCATTCTGTCCTTGTGATACTAAAGTCCATAGGGAGATGCCAAGCCCAGAATCACTTTAGAGAATTCCACTTCCGGCCCCCCACTGAATTCTCTTTTATATATACACACCCCCAACTCACCAACCAGGTTCCTAGGCACTTGCACAGAGTCCTCAGAAAACTCAAGATAGCTTCGGGCCTGTCGGCATGCCTCAGGAGTCTAAGAGGAGTGGGGAGTCATTACTAAAACAGAGAACTTGGATCTCAAACAATGATCTTTCTGCCACTCTTCGTCTTTGAGAAAAGTAGCCACCAAAGTCAGGGAGGGAGCTCAACACGACTCATGTTTACTTTCTACTTCACCCTGTCCCCTCTGTATCCCTAAGAGATCTAGAAAACAGTTATTTTTTTGCTGACCTCCCCGTAGATGCGGAAAGTACAGGTTTCTTCACCCAACTCAATGGCAGTCACTCCAGGTACTTTTCGGGCCTGCTGGATGTTGGCACCATGAGTCCCAATTGCCAGTCCCATCAGGTCCTCTCGCACTGTGAACTCCTCTTGGAATGCTGCTGCCAACTGCTTACTGGTCTGAAAGGAAACGGCACTGTAGGAATCATAGTGGCAGAGTCTCAGAATACCTGTCCCAGGTCCCTGACGCTTTGCATAACTTCAATGAGAAAAAGTATGTGCCAGCAAACCAGAACCACCCCAAAGTCTGCTGCCATCAGAACCTGTGTGGAAAATTCAGGAACTTTAAATTCCACTCCTACCTTCCAAATACCAATGGCTTAGGGGAAAGGGGAAAAAATGAGGGCAGAGTTTGGGCTTGGAGGCACCAAAGCTCTGGATTTAGCTCTAGCACTGATCTGGTTGTGTGATCCTAAACAAAACACACACACTGTGCCTCCATTCTGCCATCTGCTAAATGATTACACCTGACCCACCCCATTCCCAGACAATCAAGTAAGACTGGTGAGAAAGAACTTTCCACAAAGTAAATGCAAGTATAAGGAACTATGACTATTACTTTAATCAAACTAATATCAATTTCCAAAACGAAACCTGGCAAGTTGAGCAGGAAGCAATAGGTAAAGAAAAGCATAAAAGGAGCCTATGGAACACCGTACTGCTTCACTTCTTAACCAGTCCTTTGTGAGATTTCCGAGTATGAAGACAGGAGAGATTCTAGAAGAGAGTGTTTTAGGTAAAAAGCACCAAATAGGAAAGTATCTAAAGGGGACATTCCCAAATCACAATCCATGACTTCCTACTTCCAAAATAGATGAGTTTGAATTGTAGCAAGGATTTACACTAGGCAAGAAGAAAAGGCTGGATAAAATAACTAAGTTGGGTGTTCAAAATAACTTAGAAAGGAAGAGGAAAGGATCTAACTGGATTTATAAGTATCTTCTAGAGAAGTATACTAAGGGTGTTGTATTATTTTATTATCCCTTATATATTTAATATTTTAATAATAACTTTTTAAAAACAACAAAACAAGCCCTAGCCGGTTAGGTCTGGCTCAAAAAATAGAGCATAGGCCTGTGGACTGAAGGGTCCCAGGTTCGATTCCGGTCAAAGGCACATGTCCAGGTTTCAGGCTCAATACCCAGTAAGGGGTGTGTAGGAAGCAACCCATCAGTGATTCTGTCTCATCACTGAAGCTTATCTCTCTCTCTCCACCCCCTCTCCCTTCCTCTCTGCAATCAATAAAAAATATATTTAAAAAAACACACAAGAGCCAAAACCGGTTTGGCTCAGTGGATAGAGCCTCGACCTGCGGACTGAAAGGTCCCAGGTTCGATTCCGGTCAAGGGCATGTACACTGGTTGCGGGCACATCACCAATATGGGGTGTGCAAGAGGCAGCTGATCGATGATTCTCATCGATGTTTCTAGCTCTCTATCCCTCTTCCTTCCTCTCTGTAGAAAGTCAATAAAATATATTAATATATATATATATATATATATACACACACACACACATAAAAGAAAAAATATATATATATTAAAAAAAAACCCACAAGATTTCTCAAAACCAAAAGCATGTCTCGATTCTTAAAACCTTGCACCTATGGTTAACTTAGCTATCTGGTACACTTTACCATACAGATCAATACAGCCAACTCCTAAATGAGTTAAATATTCTACCTTTGTCACCAGGAAATGTATCCACTGAGAAATGAAGCAGATATAGTTTTTATTATCAGGAGGCAATGGTGAATTTTTATTTACTTATTTTTTAGTATATTTTTATTGAATTTTAGAGAGAGAGAGGAAGGGAGAGGGAGAGACAGAAACACTGATGATGAGAGATAATCATTGATTGGCTGCCTCCTGCACATCCCCTTCTGGGGATCCAGCCTGCAACTCAGGCATGTGCCCTGACCAGGAATCAAACCAGCAACCTCTTGTTCCTGGATCAATGCTGCATTGCTGAGCACCGACCAGGTGAGTTTTTAACTGCAGTCCCCTGAAGAGCATCCCTAGAGAAGTGAAAGATTACCATGATCCAGAATTTGCACAGGCTCAGAGAAAAGCTTCCCAAAAAGACCATTTACTTGATAAATGGAAATGCATGTTCAAACATAAACACATACCCTACTCATTTAGAATGGAATAATACCTAAGAAAAGGAAATCTAACCATTGTAAGATGGTTAGATCTCAAATCTCAGAAATACAATGGAGGGCAAAAGTTGATTTGCAGTTACAGTACAAATAATACAAATAAACCTTTGCAGTCATAACTGTAAACCTACTTTTGCCCACTCCTGTATTTTAGTCTAACCTCACTGTCACAAATGAAGATAAAAGTTCAGTAAAATAAAATGATTTGCCAAAGGTCAATTATTTGACAAAGCAAAACTTATGATCTCAAGTTCAGTTGTCTTTCCAGGGTACAAATGGTTCTCAAATATATCCTTCAAAGTGTTTTGGTTCTGAGACAAGTAGAAGAAAATGCCCCCCTGCTCTGATTGATGTTTATGTGCTGTGATTTCAAGTATATTTCACTTAGTCAGAGTCCCATGGCTCAAAGAGTTTGTAAACAACTGTACTATAACATGGTGGAGCGCTGCCATCTGCAGGCGTCTGGGATAAAACAGCAGATCAAGTATAATGGCCCACAAAGGCCTTCGTCTTTGTGTTCTATAAACATAAGAGCATGGGTAAAGGATGAGGCAAGAAGGGAAGATTCTATCCTATCCTATATAATAAAAGGCTAACATGCAAATTATCCCCATGGGAGTTCAACCAACTGGGAGTTTGACCGCTTGCTATGATATGCGCTAACCACCAGGTTAGCGGTGCGGAATGAAGGTAGGCCCCAGCCAGCAGTTGGCAGCTGGCAACTGTGAGAAGGCAGGCCCTAATCGGCCCTGATCACCGGCAAGGGCTAGGGACCCAACCTGTGCACAAATTTTGTGCGCTGGGCCTCTCTAGTACCAATATAACAGCAATAAAGAGAAAAGCCAAAATCTACCTCTAGATGTTTCGTTGCTTCTTCATTTCGAGACATGAGTAGCAGTTTGGTGCGCAGGCTTCGAAAATGCATATCACCCAGCAGGGATGCACGCTTCACAGGGGCTTCTGTGGTTGACTGAGAATAAATCAATGGACGTCATTAAAATTGACTCTGAAGCCCTAGTTGGTTTGGTTCAGAGGATAGAGAGTCGATCTGTGGGCTGAAGGGTCCCAAGTTCAATTCGGTCAAGGGCACATGCCTGGGCTGCAGGCTCGATCCCCAGTAGGGGGCATGCAGAAGGCAGCCAATTAATGATTCTCTCTCATCATTGATGTTTCTATCTTTCTTTTCTTTTTTTAAAATATATTTTATTGATTTTACACAGAGAGGAATTGAGAGGGACAGAGAGTCAGAAACGTCGATGAGAGAGAAACACCGTCCAGTTGCCTCTTGCACACCCCCTACTGGGGATGAACCGGCAACCAACGTACATGTCCTTGACCGGAATCGAACCCGGGACCTTTTAGTCCGCAGGCCGACGCTCTATCCACTGAGCCAAACCGGTCCCGGCTGATGTTTCTTTCTCCCTCTCCCTTCTTCTCTGAAATCATTAAAAATATATATCTTTTTAAAAATGACTTTGAATACACACTCGGGGAGAGCCAGCAACTGGGAATCAGGATGTCTGGACTCTGGACAAGGATGGGAGTTAAAAAATAAAGCTAGGGAAGAGGAAAATCATTGTCAACCTCACAAGGGCCTACTCTCTGGGTGCCAAAGGGGAGAGATTTTAGGCAGCAGACACAGGTGCAAACTGTACAGTCTACTTTTTAGTCTAAATATACGAGAGGGGAAACCTGTTTGGCTCAATGGATAGAGCGTCGGCTTGGGGACTGAAGGGACCCGCGTTCGATTCTGGTCGAGGGCATGTACCTGGTTGCGGGCATATCTCCAGTAGGGGGTGTGCAAGAGGCAGCTGATCCATGACTCTCTCTCATGGATGTTTCTAGCTCTATCTCTCTCCCTTCCTCTCTGTACAAAAATGAATAAAATATATATTTTAAATAAATAAATAAATAAATAATAAAAAATTAATAAATATACGAGAGGGTCCCAGCCTAGACTGCAATATAAAGACCAGGTTAAAAAAAAATTGCCCTAGCCAGTTTGGCTCAGTGGATAAAGAATCAACCTTCGGACCCAAGAATCTCAGGTTCAACTGCAGTCAAGGGCACGTACCTCGGTTGCAGGCTCCTCCCTGGTTCAGGCCCTGGTTGGGGATGTGCAGGAGGCAACCAATTGATGTGTTTCTCTCACATTAATATTTCTTTGTCTTTCCCTCTTTCTCCTGCTCTCTCTAAAAGTCAATGGGAAAATATCCCCTGGTGAGGATTAAAAAATAAAAAAAAGTTCAAGGTCTGACATAAGGAACACTAAGGAAAGGTAGGGCTACCTTGCCCACAGAGGTCAGGAGCAATCAAGTCCTCTCTGACAAATAAATATAAGCACATTGTAGTTCTTCCACTTCTACAAAGAAGTTAAAACGGGAGAAGGAAAAACTGCTGGAAGGGTTTACATAAATAAACTCACCAGGATGAAAAGCTCACTATTTGTGATGTTGAGAAAGATGCAGTTCGCTCCCAATGCTTTCTTAAACTCTTTATGAACATTTTCATTGGAACAGCTGCAGAGAAATATAAAAGTGTTCAGAGGGCAGAGTGTAGAGTGCAGGCAAAGGTCAGGGAAGCCCTGGTTGGTGTGTTCAATGGTTAGAATACACCAAAGAGTCAGGGGTTTGTTTCCCAGTCAAGGGCATATACCTAGGTTGCAGGTTCATCCCCAGCCACGTTCGGGGCATGGGCAGGAGGCAACTAATCATTATGTCTTGTTTCTCTCCCGCATCCCCACCCTACCCCTTCACTGTCTCTTAAAAAAAAAAAAAAAAAAATCAATGGAAAAAGTATCCTCAGGTGAGGATTAAAAAAAGGGGTGGGGCATTTCAAGGGATAAAGAAAAATAAGAACTGGGAGCAAGAGGGTTCTTGAGGGCCAAGGGAACAATAGACAATACTGAAACTGGGAGAAATAAGGGCAGAGATGAGGGCTGTAAAGACGGCCTGAGCCCAACGCTACTTCCTACATCCCTAACACTTACGCTTCTCTTAGATCCTCAGGAACAGCCATGGTAACCTTGAAGAAGCTGCCTTTGGTTGCAAGGGGATTGGGATTAACTGGCCGAAGCCGTTCCAGGGTTACAATCTCGTTGTAGGTGGCATCACAGGCAGCATATTCAATGACGTAGAACTGACCAAAGGAAAGACAGGAGAAGCTGTTGGATGACCTGAGTTTCTACCTCCCATTTTTCTATAACTAAATATTTGTTTCAGTCGTACTCCAAAGGCCTTCACAATCACTCACATCTCCCTTCATCATCCGCACCCGGGCCAGCCACCAGCCACAAGGCTCTTGCTCATTGGCTCGAGAATAAACCTGGAGGGAAGATAAAAATAAAAAAGATACTGAAAACCATCCAAAAACATCAAGAACAGGATAAGCATTAAAATACTTGGGAGGTATCCTTAAACCGAGATAAAAGAAACTAGAGGAAGGAGCTGCTAATTAGAAATCAGAGAGCATTAGAATTTACATGCTGCTATAATAAATGAAAGATAAATAATCCTCTGCAACTAGGAAACTCCCTGAAAGTTTGGCTGATCACAACAGAGATGGGCAGGGAACTGCTGCATTTCACTTGTCTATCGACTACCTGGCTGGAAGTAGTAGCTTAGCTTGGGGAATAAGGAGAGTGAACCAACCAGGAAGGAGTCTAGGATACGATCAGGGTAAGGGAGATGCAGAAAAAGGAAATTTAGAAAGGGTGGACTCCATGGACCTTACCTCCACCTCATCCCCTTCTGTGATCTCCTTATTATAGTCAGCTGGAGGTGGTAGCCGCACATCCCCAAAAGGAATTTGTCTCTCACTCTGCCAGCTGCAAATAAAATGGTGATACAAAAGCTATTCAGGCTCATGTGGTTGCCCATTTTTTTCAGGATTAGGTTATCACCTCAAATCGCTGGCCAATTTCTACCTTCCCTGGTGATGAGAGGCTGAACCCAGGCCTTGCTCATATGGTTATCTTCCATCTCTTGCTACCATCTAAATACTGGGTCAATTACTCCCCTACCTTACTAAACTTTAGCCCTTTCCCCTTATGCGATCCATATAAAATTGCCCACCCAAACCCTTGGCTTTCCCCTACCTATTACAGGCATCATGGGATTCAGCCACCCTCTCTTCTCCGTGCTCCTTCTAGAACCTAATATACTAGATTCTCTATTCCCGAGGTCTTACTTGTTTTCAAAGAAGATGGTGACAGAGTCTTCATGGACATCCTTCACAAAGCCCTAGAATAAATTTTAAAACAAAGTTAAAAAAAGAAAATAACAATTTACCACCATCTTAGCCATTAAGGGAACAGAGACATTCAGAAGCCCTTAAAAATATAGTTTTAGGTAGGGACACAAGCAATCTAAAGATAGGGCCAGAAAAAAGCTGTACTGGAAAAAGAATATGAATATTGAGATAGAGATAAATGAGTGATATCTACATGGAAAGAGATGTGGCAAAATCCACAAAATAAGATGAGACAGAAAGTAGAGGGAGGCAAATCACTTGCATCAAAACAGCCTGGAAGCCCTAGCTGGTTTGGCTAAGTGGATAGAGCATCAGCGGTTCCATTCTGATAGGTAAAGGGCTTGGATGCAGGCTCCTCCCCAACCTGGGCCCTGGTTGGGGCATGTGCAGGAGGCAACCAATTGATGTGTTTCTCTCACATTTATATTTGTCTTTTCTTTTTTTTAATATTTTTTTATTATTGATTATATACAGAGAGGAAGGGAGAGGGATAGAAAGCTAGAAACATCGATGAGAAAAACATCGACCAGCTGCCTCCTGCACACCCGACTGTGGATGTGCCGGCAACCAATGTACATGCCCTTAACTGGAATCCAACCTGGGACCTTCCAGTCCCCGGACCGACGCTCTATCCACTGAGCCAAACAGGTTTTGGCTGTTTCTGTCTTTTTCTCTCTCTTCCACTCTGCCAAAAAATCAATAGAAAAATATCCTCAGGTAAGGATAAACAAAAACTAGCCTGGAAACTGGTGGTCTACTATGGCTCCCACAGGGGACTTCCTATCTGTCTGATTTCTGCTATGCTGAGTAGCTTGCCAGAATTCAATTAAAATACCAACAACATTCAGCAAGGCTAAGAATATCCCGTGAGACAGCATGAGGCCGTTCTGAAACACCTAGAGGGCATCAGGCTCTGCCAAGGAAAGAGAAGGGTCTAGCTCCCCAGTACAGCAAGAGGCCTTGATGCCTGGGGTAGTAAGAGAATAAAGAGAACACTTGAAAAGTTAAAAATGATAAACACAATTTACAGAAGAAAAAATTAGAACTTAAGAGATATGAGTTTTCTGAATGCTAGACTGTAATACTGCTAACCATTAGAAAAGGATAATAAAATTTGTAGAAGACCCCAATCTTGAGATCACGATAAGGGAGAACAGGGATGAGTAAATAGCTGGTCTACCTCCTACTTTCTATGTCCTCACTGCAGAAGCCAAAGCTATGTGTCTGATCCTATGCTCCCAATTTTTCTACCTTCCTATTTTCACATACTCAAAATTAAGGACTTAATTTTTATAAAGTCCAATTCATCAATTTTTAATTTTAAGTCTGAACTTTTGATTTCATATCTACGAAATCTTTGTCTAATCCAAGGCCACAAAGGTATATATGTCTTCTAGAAGTTTTATAGTTTTTATTTTACATTTAGGTCTATCATCTATTTTTTTTAAAAAATATATTTTATTGATTTTTTTACAGAGAGGAAGGGAGAGGGATAGAGAGTTAGAAACATCGATGAGAAACATCAGCTGCCTCCTGCACAACCCCCACTGGGGATGTGCCTGCAACCAAGATACATGCCCTTGACCAGAATTGAACCTGGGACTACACCAGTCTGCAGGCCGATGCTCTTTCCACTGAGCCAAACCGGTTTTGGCTCTATCATCTATTTGAGTTAAATATTGTAGATGATGCAAGATAATAACAAAATTCGTTTTTTTACTTATAGATATCCAGTTGTTAAAAAACTATCTTTTCTATAGTGAATTGCCTTTAACTTCTGTAAAATCAGGAAATGTGCCCTGGCCAGTGTGGCTCAGTTGGTTGAGCATCACCTCATGCACTGAAACTCACTGGTTCAATTCCCAGTCAGGCATATGTCCAGGCTGCAGGTTGGATTCCCAGTACAGAGCAAACAGGAGGCAAATCAATGTTTTTCACATTGATGTTTCTCTAACTCAATAAAAAACATTAAAAAATTTTTAAATAAAAAAAAAAAAATCAGGAAATACAATTAATGTATGACAGAAAGTAGATGAGTGATTGGTGGAAGACTTGTGGGAGTGATAGGAAATGTTCATTATCTTGATTCCAGAAATGGTTTTATATCTATCTATGTACACACACACACACACACACACACACACACACACTAAAACCTAACAAATTTTATACTTTAAAAATATGTACTTCAGCCGAAACCGGTTTGGCTCAGTGGTAGAGCGTCGGTCTGTGGACTGAAAGGTCCCGGGTTCGATTCCGGTCAAGGGCATGTACCTTGGTTGCGGGCACATCCCTGGTAGGGGGTGTGCAAGAGGCAACTGGTTGATGTTTCTCTCTCATCGACGTTTCTAGCTCTCTATCTCTCTCCCTTCCTCTCTGTAAAAAATCAATAAAAATATATATTTTTAAAAAATATGTACTTCACTGTATGCCAATTATATCTCAATAGCAGTTAAAAAAATTAGAGATTTCAGCCCAGCTGGACTGGCTCAGTTGGTTGAGGGGGGAACACTGAAAGATTGCCGGTTTTATTCCTGGTTGGGGCATGTGCATGGTTGCAGGTTTGATCGTCGGTCTGGGAGTATACAGAAAGCAGCTGATTGATGCCTGCCTGCCTGCCTGCCTGCCTCTCTCTCTCTCTCTCTCTCTCTCTCTCTCTCTCTCTCTCTCTCTTTCTCTTCCTCCTCCCACCTCCCCTTCCACTCTCTATGTCTTCAGGTAAGGATTTTAAAAAAAATTTAGGGGGTTCCAGCTTTGGCGTGACTCAGAGTGTTATCCATACACTGAAAGGACCCAGGTTCAATTCCCAGTCAAGGCACATACCCAGCTTTCAGGCTGATCAATGTTTCTCTCTCAAATCATTGTTTTCCTTTCTTTCTCTCTCTGAAATCAATGAAAACATTGAAATCTAAGGATTAAAAAATATTTTTTTCTTAATAAGGAGGTTCAAAAGCTATTCCTGAACTTTGCAGCTAGGGATAAAAGATTACGAGAGAAAACACCACAAGCACACATTATATCACTCCCACCTCACAGAATTAGTCATCATAAACACTTATTATATTGCTGTTTCTTTATGGTGGGAAAATCTTAACCTAAATTGTCCCTTCTGCCCCCAGGGATTGAGCCCTCAACCCAGGCACATGCCTTAACCAGGAATCGAACTGGTGTTCTCTTGGTTCCAGGGTCAACACTCAACCGCTGAGCCACACCTGTGGGGCTAAATTTTATTCTTGATATAAGCCATCTTTCTCTTCTTTCAGATTGGGTCTTAGTATGGGACCTCACTACTGCCCAAGGCAATGGCACTCCCGGTACTATCTGGCCCCTTCCTTATCCATTCTTTAACCTTCTCTGCCATTCCCTTCCCCAGAAACGTCTTTTCTACTCTTCATTCAGCTCCATCAATGCCCACTCCTACTATTCCCCATTCAAGTCTTCTGAAGCATTTTTATTTCTACTTGCCTGAGTCCCTCTTCCTTTTCAGTTCTTTTCTTAGCTCCTTAAGTTTCCTCCTCCGTCATCCACTAAAATTTTTTTTTTAAATATTGTATCCCTCTCTAACCGGTTTGGCTCAATGGATAGTGTCGAACTGTGGACTGAAGGGTTCCGGGTTCAATTAAAGTCAAGGGCACATGCCTGGGTTGTGGCCTCCATCCCCAGTAAGGGGCATGCAAGAGGCAGTTAATCAATGATTCTCTCTCATCATTGATATTACTCTCCTCCCTTCCTCTCTGAAAAATCAATAAAAATATATTTTAAAAAATAATGTATCCCTTGCCTCTTCTTTCCCCCTTTATAAAGATGTATCTGGATTTCTAGAAATATCAACCAGCCTCTTTAGTTGACTTCATCCAATTCTTTATCCAAAATGTTTATCTCCAAGCTTTAGAAATAGTTTATAAAGAGTTAGCTATTTTCAAAACACTTTAGGGTTGCCTTAACCAGTTTGGCTCAGTGAATAGAGCATCAGCCTGTGGACTGAAAGGTCCCAGGTTTGATTCTAATCAAGGGCATGTACCTTGGTTGCGGGCACATCCCCAATAGGACGTGTGCAGGAGGCAGCTGATCGATGTTTCTTCTGACTCTCTATCTCTCTCCCTTCCTCTCTGTAAAAAAATCAATAAAATATATCTTTAAAGAAACAAAAACATTTTAGGGTTAAGATAAAAGGAGTGAAAGAGAGAAGAAAATTACTTGCCTACCTCTTTAAAAAGAGATAACCACTTCTAGATATACCTATTCACAGAGTATATGCCTAAAATTCTAACCCAATTCTTCTCCAACATATCAGAGTTGACCCTCAGGTGGAGGTAACAATGACACCCTGTTTTTTCTAGCTACCATGATCCCCAAAGCAGAAATGTAGAACTCAGAATGGAGTTTTCCCTAACACTCTCAGCAATTCAACCAAATGCCATTTACTCTATTTCCAGAGTCTTTTTTTCTTCAAACATTCTCCAAGTTTTTACCTTAACTCCATTCATATTTCATTCCAGTCTCTGCTCTTGAATTCCACCAACATATCCTAGTTTTTTCCTCCAAATATATTAGTGGCAGAGAGTCAGATCCCAGTTCTGCTTAATGCATGCTCATTGGGAAGATAAGCAGGTGAGTCTCCAAAGGATGACTCAATTTGGTGGCTATGGCATATCCTGGCTTTGGTTTATAGGATCTAAGTGTAGTCAGAAGGAAGAGCTGTAGGTTCTTAGGTACTTTAGTTTCCTCAACATCTAAAGATGAAATTGAGCTTGCCTTCAACCTATCTTCTAGTCCTGGGCTCTCAAAAGAGAGGGAGTTCTAGCAGAAAAGCAGTAAGGGTCTGGGTAAAAACCATGTGTTGAAACTGAGAAAAGAATGGGAATTAGGATTTCCAGGCAAGGTCTGAAAAGTTGGATTGTGCCCTGGAAGGTGAACAGATATTTCGTTTAGAACAGTATAATTGAAAGAGTAAAATACATTAAATTCTGACAGAAAAGAATTGACAAAAACAACTTAGATCCCAAACCTGACATTTGCGGTTCTCTCACGGTAGATCAAAAATAGGACCAAATTCTGAGAGGAGAAAAGGACCTTCCCAATTTACAGTCCAGAAGCAATATACACACTCCTTGACCCACACACTAAAGTGTGCTGAGTCATAAATATTAAATCAGAAGCAAGGTCAAAATGGGTAAGTATTCGACACTGAAAACTGAAGAAAAATTAGTCTGAATTTAGGGATTTTTTTTTTTTCTTTTATAACTAAGTCATGGGGCAGAAAATTCTAAAGTGGCCAGAATAAAAAATCTGCATTACCTGGCTTTAGCTCAACTACAATCTCTACTCCCTGATTCAAGGTATCCTGTCCCCCAATTCACCCAAGTCTATCATTGCCATCACCACCAAGAGAAAAGGGAAAGATTCAGAAAAGAGATTTTCTGCTGAGTACATATGTAGACAGGGAAACATCCCCTTCCCCGTTGTCTCACAGTTCATTTGAACTAGATACCAATCTTTCCCAGCTGTGCTTGGCTCCCATGCTTCCTAGAACAAAAGCAAACATCTTATCTTGATCTCAGACTCAATTTAAGAATCTAAGAATCTGGGGGTGGGAAAGACCCAGGTAAAAGGACAAGACACTGGGTGAAATAGGGCTAAAATTCCATGAGGAAAGTTAGTTTAACAAAAGTAATGCAAGTTTTGGGGAAAAGAATGAGACAAATGTACTCTGAGAATCAGAAAGGAATTAAGAGATTTTTCCAAAGAAAACAGAAATGCTATGGAGGCAGCCTAGAAGAAAAAGTCCCATGAGTTAGAAAGAATGCAGAAAAAAATGACAGAAGAGCTCAGTTGGGAGCTTCCTTCAGACATTGAATAAGGTGGTTCCTGAGGATTATAAAGGAATATAGAAATATCAGAATAAAAAGGCAAAGACTTAAAGAGAGAATAAGACAGATAAATATAGGTACACACAGGCACTGAATATAAAGAAATATGCCCTGGCTGGTGTAGCAACGAAAGGTTGCTGATTCGATTCCGGTCACAGCACATGCCCAGGATGCAGGCTCGATTCCGTGAGAGGTGTGCAGGAGGCAGCCAATCAATGTTTCACTCTCCCATCAATATTTCTCTCTCCCTCTCCCTTCCTCTCTCATAATCAATTTTTTTAAAATCTTAAAGAAATCTGGTGAGGGTAGTAAGAGAGAAACAGATAGGCATTTGGAGTGGCTAAAAAATGACTACACAGAAACTTATTGAAACTGGGGTAGAAACCTTTCATTCCAAAGGCAAATAGGAGACCCTTTCCATGATAAGACTTCACAGGGAAGGAATTGGAGAAAGTCATTTCCAAGGACATGAAGGTGGAGAGTTCTATTATGGGATGAAGGTTTAAGGGGAAGTGAAGGAAATGCAGCTCTTCTCACAAGTGATGTTATCAGGAGCTATCTCTGCTCTTGCTCCTCAGGGTAAAATAAAAGAATAAGATGGGAATCAAAGTCTGAGCATAGCCAAAACCAGTTTGGCTCAGTGGATAGAGCGTAGGTCTGCAGAATGAAAGGTCCCAGGTTCAATTCCAGACAAGGGCATGTCTGGAATGCCCTTGGGCACATCCCCAATAGGGGGTGTGCAAGAGGCAGCTGGTCAATGTTTCTATCCCTCTCCTTTCCTCTCTGTAAAAAAAAAAAATCAATAAAATATATTTGGGGGAAAAGAGTCTAAGCATAATTCCAAGCATAAAGTCCAAAAAGTTTCAAAATAACAAGTCACACAGAGAAAAATTCCTGAGACAAAAGGAGTCTCTCTCTGGCTTAATCTAAAAGTGAAAAAAATGTCCTAGAAAGTGGATTCAGGACAAAGGTGGTAGTGAAAGAAGTTCTAAAGAACCAAATCTTGGGCAAGGGCAAGGTAGTCCCCTTCTTCACAAAAAGCTGTATCAGCCCGGCCAGCATGGCTCAGCGTTTGAGCATTCACCTACGAACAGGAGGTTACCGTTAGATTCCCCGTCAGGGCACATGCCCAGGTTGCGGGCTCCATCCCCAGTGGTGCGTGTGCAGGAGGCAATCAATCAATGATTCTCTCTCATCATTGATGTTTCATCCCTCTCCTTCTCCCTTCCTCTCTGAAATCAATAAAAATAAAGTATTTTTTGAAAAAATGACTACATCAGATTCCCAAATTGGGAGAGTTGGCCAGAAGTCTTCTAGAAGTGGATAAGAAGATCAACAGAATCCTCATGAATTCTCCTTTACAGATCTTAAATATAAAACTTACATTCCTCAAGATGAAAAAGACTTAAGTGTACCTGAGAGATCAAGATGATAAAAAGACAAATCCATCCTTAGCTTAGAATGACAGACCGGCTAGCTTTAGGATAAAGGGGTGGGGTGGCTGTCTGGCGAAAAGATGCCACCTTCTGGCTAAGAGGCAGCTTGACTTGGTACAATCCACAGTTCCTGAGGTCAAAGATACCAAATGTCACAGACTTTTGACAATTTATCCTCGGGTCGGGAGGAACAGAAACACAAGATGAAAGAGGGGGTGCCTCCCAGAGCCAGCAGGCAAAGGCCTCTGCAGGAAGGGAGACGGATATAATGTGGAACGGCCTTCCCAGGGGGGTTACAGAAAAAAGGATAAAGAGAATTCTCCATGTGCTTGGAGTGTGTGTGGGGGAAATGTGATTAAAGTCTAAGACGTGTCTTCTACCAGGAAACAGAAAAAGTCCGTAAGTGCTGGGTACATGGGGTCTGGGGAGGATGGGAGGGCTAATCCGAGCACAGGAATGTCCTCGTGCTCCTTTTCTCTGAGGTGGGGGGAAAGCAGGTGCAATAGAACGGCCCAAAACAAGAGGAAGGGGATAAAGTTCCAGAGGTCCCCCGGAGGGCTGCCATGGGAGCGCGGTCTGAGGTTCTAAGGACTGAGCGCCGGAAGCTCGCTCCCGCCCCTCCGCCCGCTCCGGCCGGGGGCGGGGGCCGGAGGAGGGCGTCCCGGGCCGGTGCGCCTCACCTTGTAGAAGGCCCCGTTGGAGCCGCGCACCTCGACGGGCAGTCCCGGTTCCACGTCTCCCCCAGAGGCCAGGCTGCCCATGGCTCCGCCGCCGCCTCCGACTCCCCCGACGGCGGCTGCAGCGGCGGTCTGAGTGCGGGCCGGGCCGGGCCCCCGGCGTTTCCCCGGAGGAGGAGCCGGAGGGGGAGCCGCGGGGGGCGGGAGCCGGGCCGGCCCCACGGCCGCCCTGCCACAGCCAACGAGCAGGGGGCCGGGGCCCGGCCGCTCCCGGTCCGCCGCCACCGCCTTGGTCTCCGCCACCGTGAGAGAGACGGCCGCCGCCGCCGCTGCCTTCGTCACCTCAGCTTCCGCCCGCCGCCACCCCCGCTGCTGCCTCGGCCGCGGGACCCGCTGCTGCCGCTGCCGCTCCACGGCCTCCACCTCCCCCTGCCGCCGCCGCCCACTGCGCAGGCGCGCGGGGCACCCGCCCGCCGCGCGCGGGGCCCAGAGGGCTGCTGCGCAGGCGCCGAGGCCGGCGACTCAGCTCGCGCTCCCCAGCGCCTCAGAGACACCTCACTCCCTGCGGCTCTCGCACGCCCCCTGGCGGCCCCTCACTTGCGCTTGCGCAGAAGGAGATTGGCGGTCTTTCTTCGCCAGTCCATCACTCGGACACCCCCATATCTTCCTTTCCCCGCCCCACAACACGGAGAACTAGCCAATCACGGGGAGGGAGGGGCCACGCTCGCTCAATTGGATTGGATTTCCGCTGCTCTGCCCAGACCACACCTTCTTCCCTGTGAGCTCCTACGGGCTTGGACGTATTAGGGGGATGCGCATGCGTTGGAGTGGCTGCTTGGTCACTTTCCCCACCTTTGTCTGCCTGGGTGCGCACGCTCCAAAGCAAAAATAAAGAGGAGGAATCGAAAAGCAAAAAATAAATAAATGAGTGTCCCACGCGCATGCCCTGAGCTTTACATACATATCGACTCTTTTGAGTTTCAACAACTGTGCAAGCGACGTTCTTGCCTTGGGAAGATTCTGATCCTACATGTAATGAAAAGTTAAAGAATAATTTCAAAACAAACTCGAAAAGCGATTGCCACCTAGCTCAGTACAAGATGTGATAAGTTTAAATGCTGAGGAACTTCAAAATAGAAAGCATTGTCATGAAATAAGAGAGAACATTTCCGATCCTTGAGTTAGGAAATTGAGATAAAAGTGAATAAAATAGCACAGAAATTAGAATCGTGTTGTGCATTTAATCACTTACCAAATGTTTATTAAGCTCATATTGTGTTCCAATCACTGCTAAATGCTAGGGATACAAAGACAAGGTGTGGTCCCAGATCTCAAGGAATTTATATATGGGGGAGGTGACAGAGAATAAAGACTCAGTATAGAGGGAATCCCAAGGAGACCAAAGTCATTGTGATTCAGAGTGATCTGGGGAGACCACTGCCCAGGAGGTGATGCAGATTGAGTTGATAGTTCGGTTGGAGTTTGTTAGAGAAGAAGTACTGTAAGAATATTGTGGAGGAAACAAGGACTACACTGGTGCAGAGAAGCAGAAGGAGCCTGTCCTTTGGGGAATGGCAACTAATTCAAATAGTATTGGCTTAAACTAAGGAGCTGCAAAAAGTTCGATTGTGAAGGATTTCAGATCAGTTTACAAAGAATGACTTTTACTTTCTCAGGAATGGAGAGCCACTGAAAGGTTTTAAGCCACATACACTTTATTATTTTTTTTAATATATATTTTATTGATTTTACACAGAGAGGAATTGAGAGGGACAGAGAGTTAGAAACGTCCATGAGAGAGAAACACCGACCAGTTGCCTCTTGCACACCCTCCACTGGGGATGTGCCCGCAACCAAGGTACATGCCCTTGACCGGAATCGAACCCGGGACCTTTCAGTCCGCAGGCCGACGCTCTATCCACTGAGCCAAACCGGTCCCGACAAGCCACATACATTTTAAAACTGTGGAAGACAGATTGAAGAGTAAGAGTGCTCCTGAAGGTGGTGAGATCTGTAAGGAGCCATTGCAGATGAGAAAAATGCTGAGGACCTACATGGATGAGGGGCATAGGTTGATCTGAGCCTGTAGAATTTGCAGTAGAGTCAACAAGAACAGAGGGTGGGGTAGGAACCTGGTGGGAATGGAGGGAATGGAGGGAAAAAGAGGAACAATTGTAATAATCTGAACAACATTTATTTTAAAAAATAAAAATAAAAACCTTAAAAAAAAAAAAAAAGAATTGATAATGGCTGAAACCAGTTTGGCTCAGTGGATAAAGCCTCAGCCTGCGGACTAAAAGATCCCAGGTTCGCAGAGCAACAGAGGCCAGGCCCTGAGCAGCCAGGCCCGGAACAGCTCGCTCCTCGCCTGCCCCTGCCCCACGGCTGCCTCTCAGACATGGCTGGAAACTTTCGTGAGAACTTGAAGGTTCTGCTGAATCAAGTGATGAAGGCTTAGATCTGAATGTGTTGAGTTAGTATAGGACTGGGGTGTTGATCTGTGAGTGCCTTGGGTGGGGCCTGGATGAGGCTGGTGGACCTATTGGGAAATGTCTTTTGTGTGAAGTGTATCATTGGGCATGTGGAGGTATTATTGATTTGAGAAAATGCTAAGTAACTGATTTACTATCTGAAAAGGGATTTACTATTGGGGAAAGGGAGGGAAGAAGAGACTGAACATAAACTGCACCTATGGATGAGGACAATGGGGGTATGGGGAGGGGTCGGAGGGTAGGGTGGGAACCTGGTGGAGGGGGGAAGAAATGAGGAACCTTTTCAATAATATGAACAATAAAGATTGATTTTAAAAAAAAAGAGAAAGAGGGGGAGGATCCAAGATGGCTGCTCGGGTAGACATCTAGCCGCGGCAGCACACAACAATTTCAATGGAATACAACTAAAATGTAGAGTGGACATTGCCCAGAGCTACAGGTAGTCGACTGACTGAAATTTCTACAACAAGAAGGAAAGAGAAAACCAGAAAGAAAATCAGAGGAGCTGAAAAAAAGCCTAAGGTACGGAGACATGCTGCGCGCGCCTGCCCGCCCGCACGCGCGCACGGAGAGGTCGCAGCCGGAGAGGAGGAGAGGGCGGGGAGCCGCCTTTCCTTCCCTAGCAGGAAGGAAATAAAACCTCCAGCCTGGGCTGAACCCCCGAACCGGCAGCGCTGAGCCCCCCCGAACCGGCAGCGCTGAGCCCCAGTTATGGGCCAGAACCTGGGGACCCAGGCTCCGGCGGGAGGAGACGGGGCCGTGAGGCGGAAAAACGGCGAAAGGCAGGGCCCCGGGAGTCGCGCGCAATGCGCACAGAGGACTGAATGTTGACTCTGATGCTGGGTTGCCCTAGCCGGAAGAAACAAGGCCTCCGGCGGCGGTGAGCCTCAGTCCGGACTGCTCCGAACCCCAGTTCTGGGCCAATCCCTGGGGACCCAGGCTCAGGCAGAGGGAGACGGGGCTGTGAGGTGGAGTCCAGGGAGAGCGGCGAAAGGCCGGGCCCCCGGGACTCGCGCAAACTGCCCGCAGAGGACAGTCTGTGGGACTCGCGCAAACTGCGCGCAGAGGACAGTCTGTGGACTCTGATGCTGGACTTCCCTAGCGGGAAGGAGAAAAAAAAAGCTCTAGGCTGGGGGAACGCGGAGGGGAGCAGAAGCCCCTGCCGGACTCCAGCCAACCGGGCACCAGCAAGGAGGCGGGCCACGGGGCCCCTGGGGGCGTGGGTGCCCCTGAGCCTTTGACCACTGAGCTCTGGCCCTGGAGCCAAGGCCTGGGGCTGCTTCCTGGGCGGCGCCGTCCCGGCAACAGGCTGAAGCAGCACAGGAGCCCGCGGAGAACAAAGGGGTGCCACAGGCCAACCGGCTGAGCTCCCAGGACAAGGAGGAAGAAACCAAAGAAGTTCTCAATGTGAAGAAATCAAGTGAGAGCAAAAAATAGTAAAATTACTTAAGAAAGAATACAAAGAAGTTCTTGAAAAAATCAAAGACTAAGTCAGAACTCAACTCACCAGCCAACATTGCAACATAAATGCGTTTTAAAAAGAAAAAAAAAGGACAGAATGTTGGAACAGCGACGGCCAGGCCTAGAGTGGCCAGGCACAAGGCAGTGACAGCCAGACCCGGAGCAGCAACGGCCAGGCCCCAGAACAACAGCAGCCAGAACCAGAGCATCAACAGCCAGCACTGGAGTAGCCAGACCTGGGGCAGTGGCAGCCAGGCATGAGGCGGAGGCGGCCAAGCCCAGGGTGGCCAGTCCAGGAACACCCAGACCCGGAGTGGCCGGGCCCAGAGCAGCCGGGGTGGGAACAGCCAGACCCAGAACAGCAGTAGCCAAGCCCAGAGCATCCAGGTCGGGAGTGGCCAGGCTCGGAGCGGCCGGGTCCGGGGCAGCCGGGCCCAGAGCAGCCGGGTCAGGTGCGGCCAGGCCCGGAGCAGCGGCTGCCAGGCTGGGAGCGGCCGGGCCCGGGGGAGCAGCCGGGTCAGGTACGGCCAGGCCCGGAGCAGCAGCTGCCAGGCTGGGAGCGGCCAGGCCCGGGGGAGCAGTCGGGTCGGGTGCGGCCAGGCCCGGAGCAGCGGCTGCCAGGCTGGGAGCGGCCAGGCCCGGGGGAGCAGGCGGGGCTGGTGCGGCCAGGCCCGGAGCAGCGGCTGCCAGGCTGGGAGCAGCCAGGCCCGGGGGAGCAGGCGGGTCGGGTGCGGCCAGGCCCGGAGCAGCGGCTGCCAGGCTGGGAGCGGCCAGGCCCGGGGGAGCAGGCGGGGCTGGTGCGGCCAGGCCCGGAGCAGCGGCTGCCAGGCTGGGAGCGGCCAGGCCCGGGGGAGCAGGCGGGGCTGGTGCGGCCAGGCCCGGAGCAGCGGCTGCCAGGCTGGGAGCGGCCAGGCCCGGGGGAGCAGGCGGGTCGGGTGCGGCCAGGCCCGGAGCGGCTGCCAGGCTGGGAGCGGCCAGGCCCGGGGGAGCAGGCGGGTCGGGTGCGGCCAGGCCCGGAGCAGCGGCTGCCAGGCTGGGAGCGGCCAGGCCCGGGGGAGCAGTCGGGTCGGGTGCGGCCAGGCCCGGAGCAGCGGCTGCCAGGCTGGGAGCGGCCAGGCCCGGGGGAGCAGGCGGGTCGGGTGCGGCCAGGCCCGGAGCAGCGGCTGCCAGGCTGGGAGCGGCCAGGCCCGGGGGAGCAGGCGGGGCTGGTGCGGCCAGGCCCGGAGCAGCGGCTGCCAGGCTGGGAGCGGCCAGGCCCGGGGGAGCAGGCGGGTCGGGTGCGGCCAGGCCCGGAGCAGCGGCTGCCAGGCTGGGAGCGGCCAGGCCCGGGGGAGCAGGCGGGTCGGGTGCGGCCAGGCCCGGAGCAGCGGCTGCCAGGCTGGGAGCGGCCAGGCCCAGAGCAGCAGCAGCCAAGTCCAGAGCAACTAGGTCGGGAGCGGCAGTGACCAGACCCGGAGCAGCTGGTTGTGGAATGAACCAGAGCAACAGAGGCCAGGCCCTGAGCAGCCAGGCCCAGAACAGCTCGCTCCTTGCCTGCCCCTGCCCCATGGCTGCTTCTCAGACATGGCTGGAAACTTTCGTGGGAACTTGAGGGTCTGCTGAATCAAGTGATGAAGGCTTAGATCTGGATGTGTTGAGTTAGTTTAGGACTGGGGTGTTGATCTGTGAGTGCCTTGGGTGGGGCCTGGATGAGGCTGGTTGACCTAGTGGGAAATGTCTTTTGTGTGAAGTGTATCATTGGGCATGTGGAGGTATTATTGATATGAGAAAATGCTAAGTAACTGATTTACTATCTGAAAAGGGATTTACTATTGGGGAAATTGAGGGAAGAAGAGACTGAACATAAACTGCACCTATGGATGAGGACAATGGGGGATGGGGGGGGGGGACGGAGTGTGGGGTGGGAACCTGGTGGAGGGGGGAAGAAATGAGGAACCTTTGTAATAATATGAACAATAAAGATTGATTTTTAAATAAATAAAAAATATATATATATATTAAGCCAAAACCGGTTTGGCTTGGTGGATAGAGTGTCGGCCTGTGGACTTAAAGGTCCCAGGCTCGATTCCAGTCATGGGCATTTACCTTGGTTGCGGGCACATCCCCAGTGGGAGGTGTGCAGGAGGCAGCTGATCAATGTTTCTCTCTCATTGATGTTTCTAACTCTCTATCCTTCTCCCTTCATCTCTGTGAAAAATCAATAAAATATATTAAATATATATTAAGAAAATAAAAATTAATAAAAAAAAAAAAAAAAAGAGAAAGAAAAGAAATTATCTAAGTAAATCCTATACCCTTTATTCAGTAAATTATGTGTTAATTCCAAAATAATAATAATAATAATAATAATAATAATAATAAAAATAAAAGATCCCAGGTTCGATTCCGGTCAGGGGCATGTACCTTGGTTGTGGGCACATCCCCAGTAGGGGGTATGCAAGAGACAGCTGATTGATGTTTCTAACTTTCTGTCCCTCTCTCGTCCTCTCTGTAAAAAAATCAATAAAATATATATATTTTAAAAATTGGGGACCTTGAAGTGTTCTCTTTAACTGAATCATATTTTTGTTCTTATTAATCCTCACCGAGGATATTCTTTTCCATTGATTTTTAGAGTGAAAGGGAGGGGGAGAGACAGACAGAAACATCCAGACCCAGGGAGGAACCCATGACTGACACTCTATCCACTGAGAAGGGAAAGGGAAAGAGAAATAGAAGCATCAAGGAAGAGAGAATCATTGATCAGCTGCCTCCTGCATGCCCCCTCTGAGGATTGTGCCCACAACCAGCATGTGCCCCTGACGAGAATTGAACCTGGGACTCTTCAGTTCACAGAGCAATGCTCTATCCACTGAGCCAAACCAGCTAGGACTAAATTGTATTTTTTTTATTAAAATTTTTTTTTCATTTTACTGATTTCAGAGAGGAAGGGAGAGGGAGATAGAAATATCAAAGATGAGAGAGAATTGATTAGTTGCCTCCGGCATGCCCCCTGCTAGGGATCAAGCTCACAACCCAGGTTATATGCCCTTGACTTGGAATCGAACCTGGGACCCTTCAGTCCACAGGCCAATGCTTTATCCACTGAGCCAAACCAGCTAGGGCTCATTTGAATTTTTAAAAAATATATCTTATTGATTTTTTTTTTTTTTTTTTTACAGAGAGGAAGAGAGAGGGATAGTTAGAAACATCTATGAATCATCGATCAGCTGCCTCCTGCACACCTCCCACTGGGGATGTGCCTGCAACCAAGGTACATGCCCTTGACCGGAATTGAACCCGGGACCCTTCAGTTCGCAGGCCGATGCTCTATCCACTGAGCCAAACTGGTTTCGGCTCATTTGAGTTTTTATTTATTTATTTATTTTTTAAAATATATTTTATTGATTTTTTAGAGAGGAAGGGAGAGAGATACAGAGTTAGAAACATCGATGAGAGAGAGTCATCGATCAGCTGCCTCTTGCACACCCCCTACTGGGGATATGCCCGCAACCAAGGTACATGCCCTTGACCGAAATCGAACCCGGGACCCTTCAGTCCCCAAGCCGACGCTCTATCCATTGAGCCAAACCAGTCCCGGCTCATTTGAGTTTTTAAAGATGGATTGGTATATCTACCTATCTATCCAACACTCTAGATAGATTCGGTTTCTTACAATTTACACATTTAAGTGATCTGCTTGTTCCTTTCAGTGTCTAAATTATGACCATTTAACCGACTGCTCATCCATGAAGAGAATAACATGCCACTGTGGAAAGTGATGATGGATGTATAATAGCATGGGAAGATGCTCCTAATATATTAAATGAAAAAAGTTTGCAAAAAGAGTATGCTCTCCTGAATTCCTACACACTTAATTATATATTAATGTTCACCCGAAGGTATTTTTCTGTTGATTTTTAGAGAGAGTGGAAGAGAGGGAAAAAACAGAGAAATATTGATACAAGAGAAACATATTGGTTGCCTCCATGTCCTGTGACCAGGGGGCTGGGGAAGAGTTTGCAACTGAGGTATGTGCCCTCAACTGGAATTGAACCTGGGACCCTTTGGTCCACAGACCAATGCTCCATCCACTGAGCCAAACCTTTTAGGGTTGTATATATGTACATTTTTAAAAATCTGCCGAGACCGGTTTGGCTCAATGGATAGAGCATTGACTTGGGGACTGAAGGGGGCCTGGGTTCGATTCTGGTCAAGGGCATGTACCTTGGTTGCGGGCATATTCCCAGTAGGGGGTGTGCAAGAGGCAGCTGATCGATGACTGTCATCGATGTTTCTAACTCTCTATCTCTCTCCCTTCCTCTTTGTACAAAATCAATAATATAATATATATATATATATATATATATATATATATATATATATATATATATATATATAGAATAAAAATCTGGCAGGTAGCTTGGTTGGCAAATCATCACCCTGATAGGACAAGGCAGGTTCAGATCCCAGGTAGAACACATATAGGAAGCAACCAATAAATTCATAAATAAGTGACACAACAAATCGAGCTTCATTCCCCCTCTCCTTTCTCTCTTCTCAAATAATAATAAAATTGTTTTTAATCTGAAGAATTGATACCAAAGGACTAATAGAGTTAGGTAAGTTAGAATATGGATTCTATTATTTTATATTTACATTCCAATTTTTCTACAACAAACCTACATTACTTGTGTAATACAATATTATGAAAGTAGGATATGAGCCCATTCATTCCCCACCATGAATCCTAAAGGCTTGTTTTGATTTTGCTAAACTGAAAATAAAGGCTTTGTGACTTTTCCCCCCACCTCTAATCCTCATCTGAGGACAAGCTTAGAGAAAGGGAGAGCAAAAACATCGGTTGGCTGTCCTCCGAACACTCTCAGACCAGGAATCAAACCGAAACTCAGATACGTGCCCTGACCAGGGAACCTAATAGGCAACGTTTAGGTGCTCGGGATGAACCTCCAACCAACAGAGCTACTCCGGCCAGGCACTTTGTGACTTTTGAAAAAGAAAGAGCACTAGCTAGCGAAGTTGACGTTTAAATTTTAGGACAACTGGCAGCTGGGTACTTCAATTGGTTAGAACAATATATCAAGATTGCAGGCTCGATCCCCAGTCAGGGCACATACAACCATCAATCAATGAATGCATAAATAAGTAGAACAGCAAATGGATGTTTCTCTCTTCCTCTAAACAAATAAACAAAATTCAGTCAGGGGACGTGGGCCTTCCCGGAGCCCCTGAAATGCTACCACCAGGTGGCAGCCTGCTCCCTGGACCTGCCTCAGGCTTGGATCTCACGCGACTCATCCAGACGTTGGAGGCCTTTGTCTGGGTCCCCAATGTGACCAATATGCCCGATATGTCAAGCTGGCCCCTGGCTCTTCTTTCCTCTATATCCCACAGGCCCAGGGCCAAGAAATCTGGCCCGCTGACGGTGAACGTCCTCTTGGTCCCACTTTTACCCCCAGGAGCCTCATCCACCAACCAGAAGGCCGAGGAAAGGTCATCAAGGGGCTGAAGCACATCACGTCAATAACTCCTCTACTCAACGCATCAAGACATAGTAATCATCATTTATTTGTCAGGCTCTGTAAGGGGGTGGAAAGACCTTTCCCTCAGTTCTGGCTCTTTATGTGCTTCAGGAAGATTCACCCCTAACTCTCCTTTCCCCCAGGAAGGTCTTTGGCAGTGGAGATACTCTCAGAGTGCTTGAACTGGGGGGAAAGGGGGAGCTCAAATAGAGCCAGAACCCCAGGGGATGAAGTCACTTTCCCGCCAACTTCCTCATCACCTCTCCTTCGAAGCGGAAGGAGTGCCAGCCCTCAGCTTCAGTCAGATCCTGGGCTCCCAGGGCCTTGTACAAGTCCATGGCCCTCTTGTTCCAGTCCAGCACTGACAGGCGGAACTGGGAGCAGCCCTTGTCCACGGCCACCTGTGGGGAAAGACATCACTGGCTCTCCTGGGAACGGTTTTCTCACGCTCCGTGCAAGTGGAGGGCCTCCCGTCCACCTTTGCCTTCCCAGGGCCCCCGGCCTGTAGCCTCCTCCTCCTCCTCCTCCTCCTCCTTCTCTTCCTCCTCCTCACCTCAGCCACCTTTTTTATTATCTTGGAACCAATCCCCTGTCCTGTTACGGAAGGAAGAAGACAAAAGAGGGACTGTGTGCGTTGAAGGGGATCAGAAAAGGCCGTGGGTTGGGGTGAGATGGTGGTCAGGTCTCTGGGTTTGCTTTCCTCCCACCCCAGCCGGGGCCTCGGCCTGTACCCTGGTACTCGGGCTTGACATAGATGTCCTCCAGATAAACGTTGCGCCCCTTCCACGTGCTGTAGGTGAAGTAGTAGAGCCCATAGCCCACCACACAGGGCTCTGAAAAAGAGAGGGCACAGCGAGGTCAGGGCGCTGGGTCCCACGGGAGACACCCCTGAGGCTGGCTGGAGAGGAGACCTCTGAGGTGCAGGTGTGTTCTTACCCTGTGATTCCCCGGGCCCGGGCAGGCTCTCTGCTACCAAACAGTGATAGAAAGGGTTCTCTCCGAAGCCATCTGCCCTCAGGTCTGCACCGATCATCGTGATGGCGACAAAGAGAGAGGGGGCCTGGGTGTGTGCCCGGCCTGGAGCCAATGCCCAGGGAGCCCACCCCTCTCTTCCTCCCAGCCTCCGTCAGGACCCGGGTGCTGAGCCCCAACCTTCTTCACCGATCTTCACCTGATCCGAGAGTTTCTCAAACTCAGCGAGCTCCTAAGGCGCGGGGACAAAGAGCAGATTAGCGCAGGGGACCCGCAGCTCCGCGAGGGGACCCCAGGGCGCGCTCCTCCCGTCTCCCCAACCCCCTGCACCCCCTTCCACCCCACCCATCCCCGCTCCCACCTGCACCCCCAACCCCCACCTCCTCCCCGCCTTCCTCACAGACCTCTCCCACCTCCTCCGCACCCTCTCCGCCCCTCCAGCCCGACGCTGGGTCCCCTCGGAGACCCCGGCTTCTGGCTCGCAGACTTCACCCGAATCATCCTCAGAATGTTTCCGCAGTCTCCCTCCTTGGCCTCTCGGATCTGCACGAAAACCATCCCGATCCCCCCCCTTCGTCCGGAGCCGAAGCCCAGGACCCCCCGCTGCCGTCCTGCAGGGCCCCGAGAAGGGCACCCGGGCCCCTTCCAAAGGGTCTACAAACTCGGGTCCCCGGGAAGCCGGGGAGCGAGGTGGGCGCGGGGACCCCGAGCTGGGAAGCGGACCCCGGGCTGCGGTTACGGGGGGCCGAGAGAAGGGCGGGCGGAGCGGCCTCAGCTGCTGGGGAGCCCCTACATTCTGCCAGCCTATCAGCTGCAAGCAGAGCGGGCACGTCCAGCCAATCAGCTTGCACAGCGGGCACGTCCCCGCCCCCGGCCCTGCTCCCTTTGGCGGGGTCTCGTGACCGAGCGCGGGGGCGGGGGTCAAGGTCCGGCTGCAGGACCTCCCGCGCTGTTGACACGGGCTGGCCCATCCTGCAGCGGAGTAAGCCCACGGCTTATGCATTCTCACCAGAGTTGTCTGAGCCACAGAGCGGAGCTCGGCTGATTATGGAGTGCGGAGGCCCTCTGGCCACATCGTGTTGGTTGCTGCTGCTGCCGCCACCATCTCATAACCACCAGGGACAGGCTCTGAGACAGATTCCCCCCACCCAGTGGGCCGTGATTATCCTCTGTACCTTATAACTAATAGGGCTCTAGGGTGGCTTTTCTGATGCCATTTGTATGTTTAAATGGGTCAGGGAAAGGGTGATGAACTCCTGTTGGTAGATGGTTTTAGGCCTTGTAACAAGTGAATCAAAGAAGATAATTTAGTAGCCACTAAATCACACTCGGAGACAATACCTCCTTCTGAGGCCAGCCTCCGAGGCCTGGGAAAACAGCGAGGGAGGCCCTGAGCAGATACCAGGCACTGTGCCTGCATCGTCTCAATGAATCCTCACGCACAGTAGCCGCCTAGAGTAGGCATTATTGTTCACATTTTATAGACAAGGACACTAACGCACCCCCTGCAGAGGGACCTGCCCGCAGTCACTCCGCTAGGTACTTGGGATTCCGTGTCGGGGCTCTAGTCCTCGTTGGGCTGCTGCTTTGAGGAGCGGGACGGGGCTGTTTCTACGCTCAGGCCTGTCCTGGCAGCCTCCCCGGGCGGACAGAGGCTTGGGGGACCCAGGTTAGGCTGTAGAGGAGAGGGAGAATGGGATGCCAACTCCCAGCTCAAACTTCCTCAGCAGTGGGGGGAGGTGGTGAGAACTTTGTTCCTTACCCCATTTGGCCCCTCAGAAGGATGGTAGGGTCAATGCCCCTGTCTTCAGCCCTTGTCCTTCCCTCCCCCCCCCCCCCCCCCGGGGCAACCTTTAACCTCCCATCGACACTGGGCAAGGCTGCCTGCTCTTACGCATTCTCACCAGTGTTGTCTGAGCCACAGAGAGGAGTTGGGCTGATTATGGAGTGCCGAGGCCCTCTGGCCAAATCCTGTTGGTTACTGCTGCTGCTGTTGCTGCTGCTGCCGCCACCATCTCATAACCACCGGGGACAGGCTCTGAGACAGATTCCCCCCACCCAGGTGCAGGAACAGCATAGGGTAACCAGCCCAGGTGCTTCCAGGAGCTTCCCTCTTTCTGTCTTTCTCCTCTGGCCCTGTAACTCTGCCTCTCCTCTGTCTGTCTCTGGCATGTCCTTATTCCAGCTTGTTTATTTTCTTTCTCTGATAGGGGATCCAGGACCCTCCTGCTGTGCACCTCAGCAATGGCCCAGGACAAGAGCCTGTCTCTGTCATGATCTTTAACCTCACCAAGATCAAAAAGTATGGGGTTGACCTAGTCTTGACCTAGTCCCCTGACCTACCATCTCCATCAGCTCTTCTCTTCTCCCTATCTCATGGTCCTTCTCTCTCCCTTACCTCCTCACCTCCCCAAGCCCACGTAGGCCTTCAAAGACACACTCCATACACAGTCCTTCCTTCCGTGTCCTTCCAGAAGCTCCTCCTCCTTTGAGTTTCGAACATGGGATTCAGAGGGAGTGCTCTTTTATGGAGATACCAACCCAAAGGATGACTGGTTTGTGCTGGGACTTCGAGACGGCAGGCCTGAGATCCAACTGCACAACCCCTGGGCCCAGCTCACAGTGGGCGCCGGACCCCGGCTGGATGATGGGAAATGGCACAAGGTAAGCCCGATCTGGCCCTGAGGGGAAGGGTGTCTTGAGCTGGTCTGAGTAAGGGGAGCAGAATCAAGTCACTGGACGGGCATTCCGTTACCATTGTCATCTGGTTTACTCTGCACAAAACCCCGATCACTTCAAACGGGAATTCTAAAGCAGAGTCAGTAGATGGGTAACAAGTCCTAAGCGAGCCAAGGATGCTAGCAGACTCCTCACGGGCATGCTCTTTCCACGATAGTTGGCTGACTCTGAAGAAGTGAGTGGAGGCGGGCCTCAGGGGTTTCTGGTTCTGCTTCACTCCCCCTTTCCGCAGGTAGAAGTGAAGATCCTTGGGGACTCGGTGCTGCTGGGGGTGGATGAGGAAGTGGTGCTGCACCTGAGACAGGTCTCTGGGCCTCTGGCCAAAAAGCCGCAGCCCGTCATGAGGATTGCTCTTGGGGGCCTGCTGTTCCCTGCCTCCAGCCTCCGGCTGCCGGTAACCGCATCGCCGGGGTGGGAACCGTGGCCCACGCTGGTAAAGCCTTGCAGACTGAGTGGCCGTGGGGATTTGAGTCCACATTTTTGAGAGGAGCGGATGGGATCGGGGAGGCCACATGCTTATGTGTTGGAGGGGCATGAACTGAGAGTTGGGGAAGCTGGGACTGGGCTCCGGTGTCCTAATTCTGACATCCTGTGCCTTCCCTTCCCACCATGGGCTCCAGATGGTACCTGCCCTGGATGCCTGCCTACGCAGGGATAGCTGGCTGGACCCACAGGCCCAGATTTCAGTGTCTGCCCCCACTAGCCTCAGAAACTGTACTGTGGAGTCCCAGCCGGGGATATTCTTCCCTCCAGGAACTCGTGCAGAGTTCAAGCTCCAAGGTAAAGGCTGTTTTCCCCCTCCGTGGCCATCTCTGTATTTGCCTTCCTCCATCTCCTACCACCGCTGTCCCCCTCCCTCCACGAATCCCTAGCCTGAGGCCTCAGGAGGCTCCTTTCTCCCCCCAGATATCCCTCAGCCTCATGTTGAGCCCTGGGCCTTCTCTGTGCACCTGGGACTCCAGCAGGCAGCAGGCTCTGGCCACCTCCTTGCCCTGGGGACCCCAGAAAACCCTTCTTGGCTCAGCCTCCAACTCCGAGATCAAGTAAGAAGGGGCACTGCCTGTGGTGGCACCTGGTAGCAGTGGAGGGAAGGGAACTTCAAATGTCAATATTAAGAAGGGACATATCTTAAAGTTGGGGACACCAAGCAGACAGCTTTTATTTATTTTTAAAATGTTTATTCATTGATTTTTTTAAGAAAGAGAAATATTGATTTGTCGTTCCACTTATTCGTGGATTCATTGGTTGTTGCTTTTTCTTTATTATTGACTTTTTTTAGAGAGAGAGGGGAAGGGGTGGAGAGAAAGATAGAAAGAGAAACATCAATTTGTCTGTGCGTTCATTGGTTGATTCTTGCCCTGACCGGGTATTGAACCCACAACCTTGGTGTCTGGGACGATGCCCTAACCAACTGAGCACCCAACCAGGGCCACAAACAGCTTTTATTTAGATTGTATTATTGACTTGGGGTCGGTGTGGCTTTGTGGAAGGTCAAGCCGACCGAATGGAGGCTGGATTTGGGAGTGGGAATGGCCAGTAGATAGGAGGTGTGGCTAAGAGGCAGAATGCAGGCAGTTAGGAAGCCGGGCCACAGGAGTAGATGTGGCTCCTTCCCTCCTCCCTCACTTACTGTATGTGGCTGTCCCACACCCTCTGCAGAAGGTGGTGCTGTCTTATGGGTCGGGGCCAGGGCTGGATCTGCCCCTGGTCTTGGGCCTCCCTCTTCAGCTGAAGCTGGATGTGTCCAAGGCGCTCTTGACCCAGGGCCCAAAGAAGACGAGCCTCGCTCTGCCTCCTGTGGGCCTTGACTCCCTCCTCGGCCTCTGGGCCCACCCCCAGGGCCGTCTCTTCCTGGGGGCTCTGCCAGGTAAGAGAGAGTGCTGTTCAAGTTCTCACACCAGCTGGAGGCAGGGGGAGAAGATAAGAAAGGGGCTCGTTGTTAGGGGAAAGAAATATTTTCCCCAGATGAGGGAGGGTAGGGGGCAGCGGGAGGAAGTGCTTTAAAACACTTAGTTTGGAGAAAGAAGAGTGGGGAGGAGCTTCAGTATCCAAACCACCCTAATGCCCCCTCCGTGCCACCTCCCTCTAGGACAGGCCTCTTCTGCCTCCTTTTGCTTGGACGGCCTTTGGGCACAAGACCAGAGGCTAGACATGGATCGGGCCCTGAGCAGAAGCCGGGACATCTGGACTCACAGCTGTCCCCAGAGCCCCGGCGATGCCACTGACACCACCCATTAAATCCCCACCTAAGAACTCCCTTTGAATGTCACTCATTTATTTATTCAACAAATATTTATTGTACATCCACAGTGTACCAGTCACGTTGTGTTGATGAGTAAAAACAACCCTGGTTTCTGCCCTCTTGGTGCTCACGGTCCCCTGGGGAAGGCATGTATTTATTCATCAAAAACTAACAGCTAAGTGGACAATTAGAAACCCTGGCAATGCCCTAAAGGAGCAGTCAGGGAGCTAAGAAAGCTTGTAGCCAGGAGCCTTACCCCAGACTGGGGGTCAAAGAAGACTTTTTGAGGAAGCAGTGACTTCTCAGGCTGAAATCCCAGCACAGCACCCACAGACACACACACACACACACACACACACACAGACACACCCATAGACACACCCACACACCCACGGACACACACACACACACACACACACACACCCACAGACACACACACACACACACAGACACACACACATACCCACACACACACAGACACACACACATACCCCCCCACACACAGACAGACACACACACACACACACACACACACACACGGACACACGGGGACACACACAGACACACACACACATAT